ATGAGAGCAAATAGCCCCATTCAATGAGTTGTTGAACAGATACTTGTCACATAACGCTCAACTATTTACTTTCATTTCATGCAGTTAGCTAACGAGGCGTCACGCATGTGGACTGCTCCTAAACATATCACACTTATATAGCAAAAAGATCTCGCCTCCTGACTTCCTTCTAAAATATGGCGCATGATACAGTGGTCTAGTCAAAAGTCGACAAATAAAGTATTTACATTCTATCAGTTAAAAATCTCCCAGTTTATTTAATTTCTTCCTTTCCTTTTTAAAAATCATGTCAATATTCTTCTAAATTACACAGAACCTGATTTATCATTATTCTATTATTAATATTTTCTTTTTCTTCTTTTCTTTTCTGCAAATATGGCACATATAGTGCAAACTTGTGTGTATAATTTCAATTTTGAAGGAACCAGAAATGGTTTCTTCACAACATTTATGTACCTATAAGATGTTTGTGAATAATAATAATATATTCAACTTAGTACTCTTTGTTTGAATCTTCCCGTTGATGTTTAGGACTGCAACTGGTCAGTCTCTTATCGACATATGTGCATACTGTGCGTATTGCCTCGATATTGCCTAAATTCACGAGCATGGTAAGCAAAGATGGATGGTGGCTAGCAGTGGAATCCAGTTTGACGCGCGTTTCGTCCTATTTGGGACTCGTCAGATGGATGTACCTGCATCTCAGAGTTGATGTTCACTCTGGGACTCGAACCCAGTACCTTTCGCTTCAACCGCCATCGGGTTGTCCACTCGACCACTGAGTCCTGATAATAATAACAATATAATAATATTATTATTAAATGTGCATGATTAGTCAGAAAATAGATTCGATTTCTAGGTATAATTATATGCATATATCAGTCGGTGTAGCCTTTGACTTCCCATTTTTACTCTCAGTTCTCACACTTAGTGACCGTTTGTGGGTTGACGCATAGATATCCTGTGTGTTATCATCAGTTTCAGGACACTGAGGGTTATAACAGTGCAGCTAATAAATTGTTATTTTTCCTTTCAACACTTGATAGACTATTTATGAAATACTAGCACACAACACATTGCATGCTTGATATCAGTACTATCAAGCTTTGTTGAGGATTGTAAGGATGCCACAAGTGCTCGTAGTTTGAAAACGTCTTAAACAATAACACCTTGTATAGTCGAAGTGTGCCAAATCAGTCAAGTGAGAAGTGAAGAGGTTCAAAGTTATATTCAAAAGGCTATCGATATCTCGAGAAGCGTTTGGTCTAAGCTAGCTTACGGTTTTAGGAGACGTGTAGCATGGCGTAACTACTCATGATCTGGTGCGGATGCGTGACCGAGCACCTTCAGCTATGTGAGTCTAGTGAAACTAATGAGGTCAGCTTCAAATGTCAAATACTTACAGAACTATTTATTTTGAGGATTTATTTTCCCGTACATGTTCATCCGAATCAGAGTCACACCAGTTGGTCACAAAACCGTGTTATTCATCGAGTCCCCAATGTGTAGAATATTAATTCTGATGTTTCATGACGTGGTGTAGGTCATTTCCATAAGAAATAAGATGTAAACACGGGTTTAAAAGGTACATGGGACACGAAGTTGAACATTCTTAGTACAATAAAATTGAAACAAGTTTGGTCGTGTTAATGCTTTATCAACGTTATTTCTTATGTGAGATCTAGCTGTCTTTTATGCTAATTATAGTGTTCCATGATGCTGTTCGTAGTAATTTATAGGAAAACAGATTACAATATCTTCGAAGTTTTATCAGAGGTTCGTCACTAATAAACAATCTTTTCGATGAAAATCCAATTACATAGACAGTAAAATTGCTGTGGTACTGGTTCTTAACCATACGATCTATAAAGATGAGCGTATAATCACTGGAATTTACTTTCAACATGTAACACTAAGAGAAAGTCAATGACAGTGAACGCGAGAATAATTAAGCGACGTGAGATGACTAATTCATTCAGGCATTGTCACTGTATGTAACCCCTCGCTTTCTATACTGAATACATATTACTCTATTCCCAGCCCAAATGTGTTCTTCAGAAGTACCAAACATCATATTACTGATTGTCACCAATGAACGAGTAAGTATAGACAACGACATGATTTCCACGTAAGATCTCATAGATTAGGTTTTCACATCATGACAAATCTACCATTTTGGAATTAGGTCTATAACTATAGTAGTACTAATACAGAAGTAGACCATAATCCTATAGAATAACACTGAATCATAACCGAAAATCATAATTGTAGCCTAACATAAACTAACTTGGAAGATTCACACTTTCCATTGAATAGTAACATCGATTTAAGATAATGTAGATTAGACAGTCACATCAAACCGAGTCTACAATATTAGATTAGCTCTACTATTATAGTATAATAGATCGACGTGTAGAATTATGGTCTAGATCGTTATTAGTACCGCTATAATAATAGACCTAACCCTAAAAGTATAGATTTGTTACAGTGTGGAAACTCAAACTATAAGGTCTTACGTGGAAGTCACATCATTGTCTATTCTGACTCGTCATATTGTAACAATCAGCAGTAATATGTTTGACGTTTCTAAAGAACACGTTTGGAATGGAGATAGAACAATTTATTGAATATGAATAGAAGAGATATGTTACACAAAAATGACCACGCCCCCAAGGCTGAGCTATGCAATCCCACTGAGTTGAGTGTTCCCATGTTCACCATTGTCTATTTTTGCATATAAACGTTTTCGGTAATTATATGCTCGACTTCAAACGTCGTGTGGTTATGATCCAACACCACTACAACCTAAATCCTACAAAATGAAACTGTAATGGTAGTCACACATTGTGTTAAAGATAATCAACAACTAGTGATACACTAAAAATCTTGAGACTCAGTCCTTTTATTTCTATTGCACTCATTATACATCAAAGAAATAAAGTGAATAACAACGATCATAACGTATAGAATACGTTATATGGACTTATAATATATGGCAATAAAATTTGAATCCCGGATGACTTAAATAGCATTTCACGTTTTATATACTACCTTATTAGATCTTTTTCACGAGAGATAGAAATATTCGTGAGAAAAGCAGTAGTTTGTCAGCTTATAAACCATTCTAGACTGTTGGATTATATATGTGTGGAATTTTATTCTGGCGGAAAATAAATCCGCAAAATAAATAGTTCTGTAAGTATTTGACATTTGAAGCTGACCTCATTAGTTTCACTAGACTCACATAGCTGAAGGTGCTCGGTCACGCATCCGCACCAGATCATGAGTAGTTACGCCATGCTACACGTCTCCTAAAACCGTAAGCTAGCTTAGACCAAACGCTTCTCGAGATATCGATAGCCTTTTGAATATAACTTCGAACCTCTTCACTTCTCACTTGACTGATTTGGCACACTTCGATTATACAAGAATATTTGCGGCATTTTTAAACGTATGAATATGTTAAATATGCCAAGTAATTAGTTTTAAAATTATTTACAATAAAGTTCTTAATTTTTGGTTTTGAGAACGATCCCATATATTTTCACCATTTAGGTTAGTGTACATTCTCTCTGTGTTTACGCTACATGATGAATCAACGTTCATTGATTTATTGCTGATTCAAGAGTTCTGAATAACCAATTACATTTATGCCAGTCATTTTCATCTATTCATATACATTTAACCATACCTGACCTGCAACTACTAGGGTATAGACTTGACAGCCAACCTACGTGAATCGGTGGTCTAAAGACTCCTAGGTGTATTACCAGCTCAAATCTGAGTATACTAACTTATATTTTAATCAGTAAATTATATTATTATATTTTGTGTGACATAATTGTTAGTACGATTTATAAGTTTTCACAAGGCATGTAGAAATATTTATATTTAATTCAATTACATAGATAAAACGTGGTGTTTAGTCGGTAATTTTAGCCAATTTATATTCTAACCATAGGTAATAGATAAAAGGCAATAAGTACCAAGGTCTAGACAATGTAACATCGAATAGTATCCAGTTGGTTAACCATTAGTTTAGAAATACGAAGGAATTGGTATCTTACCCTCCTCAGTTTTAGACCATGAATATAAACAGAATATCCTATGACTTTCAGAACAAGACAAACAGCTGCTTAAAACCCTTTTTTGAAAAAAGAACTTGACAAGCCGGAAATATTTACAGATAAATTTCACTCTGAAGAAAGACGACATCGGAAATCAGTGAATCATGAGTATATATTAGTTATATATATTAGTCATTATCACAGTGACACAACGAATTAACAAGATAAATACTAAGAGTCGAAATAATGATAGTATTAGTAACAATGAGAAAGATTAAACAATGAAGAATAAAAATAGAAACAAAACAAGGGATAAATTCAGGGAACACTTAGGGGAAGATATAAAGTAAATGCATCTGTACCATTGTGACCTGTCAGGCGACATTTTGAACTTTTCATCATGTGTATCATGGGGACAAAAACCAGCTAATCTGAATCTGCTAACAAAAACTAGACATAAAAATCAATCACTTCATAGATTGATTGCATGTGTTAATTTTACCTATGGTTTTCTTCGAACCAGAGACCTTTAAAATCAGTGTCCAGAGTTAATTTTAACGGTAACTTTCGGTCCCTGTAATTAGACGAACTTTTACAGTAAACCTCCAATTGTATTTCTACCTTTTAATTTCGTCTGTTACTCAAATATATATCTGTGAAGACTTATGTGGTAAGGGGTTGATGTATCAAACTTAAAAAGTTCCTGTTATTTTTCTCAACAGCGCATACTTTTGATCTCATAATATGTAAACCAATAACCTCCAATAAGTGAACTTAGAAACAACTACTCTACTATAGTGCAATAGTATTATTATTTATTAATTCATCGTACAGTAATGAGATAGCTTTTTAAATGTCTTATCCGCCCACACTTAATTAGTCTTAATTTAAATTAACTTCACTTGTTCAGAATAACCTGGGTTATATATGTATATATTTCACATTACAAGCTATTATAAGAGATAACCTATTGAAGAGAACTACTTCAGATGGGTCAAATGTCATTGGTTGGTTGCCTTTTTTAATATGCTATATTGTGACGTTGCCTAAAGAGATTTTTACGCTGTGTATATACGTTTTAGTGGTGCGCTTGTTGTTATTCATGCTCCCAGCTGCCTGTAGAATATACTTTCGCTTATACGAACCTGAACCTCTCCCTACAGTTAGCGGGGATAGGGTTCATTGGAATAGTTTAGCTATCTCGTCATTGTTTTGCTGATCCTTCATTCAGTTCGCCGATTTTTAAGTAATCTGGTAATTGCTTCAAGCATAGTACTATTGAATAAATTACTATGCAGTTGATGAAATTGATTAAAAAAAAACTACCGTACAACTACGATATAATTGATAAAATACACACTGTAAATTTCGATACTCTTTCAAAATGAACAGAAAATGTTTTGAATGAAAAGTAAAACAAATCTACACTGATTACGTCTTTTTATTAACACATATATTTCCATATATGTATACATAAGAAGAAATGAGAAGTATAATCTCATAAACTAAAAAAAAAGAGAAATGTTTTCTTTCACCTTCCAATCGATTATATATATATATATATATATATATATATGGTGATCTTCATTGAACATTTATACATATGTCAAGGTGATTGAACACTTTTTGTATAATTTTTAGTTTAAAACGGTGGTGCATTCTCTGGCCATGTTCTAATCAATGGATTTTCATTAAATATGTCAATATGTTTTGGTGATTTATCAATACCATCCACGCTTATTTGTTTAATCCATGATAATAATGAATAATATAACAGTTGTGAAGATGTCTGTTGTTTACAATTTTCTTCATGTATAGTTATCAAATTGTTTGGTATAGAAAATGAAGATTTTATCAAAAAATGAATAAGATATAATATGATACAAAAGAAAAGAAAATATGATAAGAATTTTATGAATATACTACTAAATAAGCGTTTAGATAAGTATGATGTTGTTCTACACAAAATACTTTTGTTTTTATAATGAGAATAATGAACATTAGAACTAAGCAATGGAAAAGATGATGACAGTGATGTTGAAGGTGAGCTATAAATAGGAAATAAATGAAGTTTATGATTATTATTATGTATAAATGGTAAATTATTATGTAATAATCTTTTTTGAATAAATAATTTACAGTAATTATAGTTGTTTTTAAATACAGTATTCATTGAATATATGGAGTGATGTAATGAATTATGATGATGGTGATGATGATCATCATCATCATCACCATCCAAATCAAGATCAGAAACATCATTATTGTCATCATATTTATTGGTATAATTGATTTCACAAATATTTCTATTCAATGTTGTAGATATTTGATTCAATGATGAATTTATAAATAATTCATTGTTTAAATGAATATTTCTTTTATAAACTATTTTTAATGTATTTTTAATGTTTATTTTATTTGGTTGATAAGAAGTCTTGATGATATAAATGTAATTTGATGAATTTCTGAAATTACTGATAATAGTTGTTTCAATTTGTGTGATCGATCTTTGAATTGAATTTGTTAGATTGAAATGAAGTTGAATTTGTCTAATTTTATTGTTTGATGATTCTGTCAAACTATTACTGAAATTAGACTGTTCATTACTATCATGATGACGAATATTTAGAACAGGATCAGGATAAAGCTGTAAATTAGTTATTTGTTTCAGATCAAATAATTTTGTCAAAGATTTAGCATGGTGATTATATACATTTTGTATTGTACTTTCAACAGTTGATAGATCGTTATTTTTCAAAATGATATTAATATAATATGGTTTAGCGGTTTGATGAATACTAGAAAATTATACAAGAAAGGGGAGATAAAAATAAACTCATCTTAAAAGTCTATAAATATGCATACACATACAAAGCAGAACAGAATAAACAAAGTAACTCCTAATACAAAACTGAAAAGTACAGTAAGAAACAATCAAACGATTACGTCCAAAAAAAGTAACTTCACGTTTGCATTAATCAACCATTATACAATAGTTAATAAGACTGTTTTATATCTGACTGAACAGAGGTCTAAACAGTTTATAAGATCACAAACAAAAAACGTGAAGTGAGTTGAGGACTGCTTTAATATCTGAATGACCAATGTTAAACAGATTAGAAAACTCAATGGGTCAAAAAGCTTTTATTGATGACTTGTCGAATAGTCTACTACATTCAATATTGAAAAAAACTGTGTTAAAAGAAGAAAGAACTATGAATTTTTGTTGAATTTATTTTAATAAAAATATGTTTTTCATCAAGGACTGACTTTATTTAGAAAGTCATTAAAAATGTAGAAACTTTGGACGGATGTTTCACTGTAGTTTTGGGCCTGCCCTAAGTAGTCAGCATCCTAAGGTCTTAAACATGATTGAACTTAATATAGCCTTCAGGTTTCAAGATGATCACATTAAATCTGCACTACTGAGTCGGAAACCAGTGGTCCACATTTTCAACTCTGATGGTTAATTCATTACCTATCGACCTACACTATAGATTGACTGAAGTTAAAAAATGTTAGGTGATTATATTGCAAGAGATGATGTAATCACCATGAGGCTTCAGTTTATTTATTTTCATATGGGAACATAAATGCACCTAGTTGAGAAGTACTTGAAACAGAATTAAACATCTGTTTAACGATCCTCAGTTTTTGGTGGTTTTTAAACTGGCTAGTATCAGTGATTCATTACGACAACCAAATTCAGTCAGTTAAACAAATCACTGTTAGTATAGAGAAATGTCGTAAATTGTTGTCGCTCTATATCGTTAAATGATTGGACTTGGAAATCTGAACTACTGGATTCCAAGCTCAATGGATTAAAGTTCAGGGGGTTGTGGCAAGGCTTGAAGATACTGGATGTGATCGCTGGTGAAGTCATAGATGATTACTATTAAGAAGCCTCCTACTGGGACGAGATAATTATGAAATGCTACCTAGTTTGAAACAGATTTTTAAATCAAGTCAGTGTCCCTAAAGTAAAACCATGAACAAATCTTTACAAACCATTTAGCTAAACATTATTCTCATGTTTGTAGTTTCTCTCTTGATTGTTACAATTGGCTTACCAAGTTAGAGAGATGAAATCTAAATTTCGTAACAAATCAACTTTTTTCTAGCATAAAAGTATGACTTGTGGTAAAGATTGCTTACGCCATGTACTACTAACCAATAAAAAAGTTATTAGTTAACACATCTACCCTAATTAACATTATTTATTAGTTAGAATAATCAAAATAATTTTAAAACATTTTACCAGTCACAACATGGAAACTCCACGTATGTACATAGGTTCGAGTTTCCATACACCATTAGCACACCGAGACGAAGTTGTCAAGCTAAATACCAGAAAAGTAGAGGTAATAACAGTATCAGTAGATATAGGGAAGATTAGGCATCAACGATACGACTCAAAAACAAAATATAAATTAGTGAAATTAAAACATTATGAAGAATTTGGAATCTCAGGATTTCGCGGAAAAACAATGGATGCACCTACGACATTGTAAATAATTTCAAGCCATGCCATTCAAACTCTCTAACCATTGGTCATGATAATCACGCGGTCCCCACCCAGGTAGTCTATATCTATTAACATGGCTGAGTACAATTGTAACTGACTTCATGGATTGATGCCAATGTTTCTTAAGGTCGTCAGAAAATTCGGGATTTTGTCAGTGTCTTCATCAAACAAAACTATATCATCTGCGTACTCTAAGTTAATAAGTGAGTCTCCTGGTAGAAGATGAACTTCTGAAAAGTCAGACAATGAAAGTATTATCTATAAAAGCATGTTTACGACAACGTTAAATACAAATGAGGAAAGCAGACAAACTTGATAAACACTAATTGAAGTTGAAAAAAAATAGATAAAAAGGTATTAATAATTTAATGTTAAACACAATAAACCAAGCAGAAATGAATTATAAAAACATGCATTGACGTTGAGTAATAAGAATTGTACAAATTAATAAGAAATATTGTGCAGAGACAATTGATTAATAAATTACAGTGGTATGAATGAAAAATTTTTTTACCAAAGAGTGAAAATTTTTAAACGACAATGATTAATAATAATAGCACCGTTGGATGCCGGCTTAGTGGTCATGCGCGAGATCGAAGGTCCTGGGTTCTAAACCCGCGTGCGGGATCGTGGATTCGCACTACTGTGTAGTCTCATACTAGGTCAAAACGGCCATCCAATACCTCCAGATTTTCATTGGTGGTCTAACATTGATCGGTTTATAATCTCAATTACAACTCAATAATAATAGTTATTATAATAAGTCACATGTACACAATTATAAAATGAAAGAAAGATACAAAACACAATTAACAAACACCGAACACAAATATATACATTATTTGTTGACATGTATATAAAGCCACAGAAATGATAGAAGGAACAGAGGTAAGGTAACAATAACAACGAACTGTAACAATTAAAATATATTTTGTTTACTTGTTTAACTCGTCTGATGATAAATTAGAAACGATAAAGTTGTTTAATTGTAAATTGGTTAAAACCTAATTTTATACGTAGGAATAAGAAAATGAGTATCTCAATTATGTTAATCAATAATAATGATAATAATAATAATGAAGTGTTATATCGGTAAACGCCATTACAGGAAGAAAATTTTATAAATACAATAAGTACGGTCAAAAATAACATGAATTGAAGTCTTTTTTTTCTTCTCTAGAACATATCTATATGTTCAACATTTCAGGTACAATTTGTTAATCAATGTTAACCAGTAAGTAAGGAATACAGGTTAAAAATGAACCTGTAAAGAGATATGGATAAAGCGGCTACTATCAACTACTTTTCATCATTCAATACATACTAGATGTAATACAACAATATTATTACGTCATCAGCCTTCACGATCACAATGACAAATATGTTGTGACTGATTTGTTTGCGTTCAAACGACTAAAAGTTAAAATTAAAATGAATACGTTCACCAACTAGTACACTTTAAAAGTATTCAGGTGTTTTCTCAGTGGGGGGGGAGGAGGGGAGTAATGTTCAATAGTCCGAGAGCAGAAAGTCTTAGATTTAACTGATACAAATCATTAAATTAAGTAACAAGTCATATTTTCCATCAGAAAATATTATTGAATACATTTAAAATAGTGAAACAAATAAATGTAATACAGTTTCGTTTAAAGGCTTACACATAACACATACGAATTGATATAAAGTCTAAATCTTTATTTGCCAAAGTAGATTGTAAATGTAGTCGGTTAACAATTGTTGAAAAAAACAAACGATTAACTGTCTCTATCCACTTCATTTTAGATTCTTGAAGTGTTTCAATGATATTTGTTGAAACAAACGGGGTCACGTAAACAAGGTCATAAAATAATTATAATAACATCCAAAAATAATATATTTTAGCTATTGGCAAAACAATTGAAAATATGAATCCATTACATGTGTACAGTTAGATGCTAACCTAGTGGTATAATAGTTAAGAGTTTGATGTGAAACCGGAAGGTCCTAAGTTTCATCATTAACAGGGGTTATAAATACGTATTACTGAACAGTTCCATACATGAAAGAAAAATCCATCTAGTGCTCTTTGGTTTCCAGTGTTATCAACTTGAGATCAATGTGTAATAAATACTACCTGTAAATCAAACCAAACTTTTTAAAACCCCTTCAACTTTTAGCAATAGATCAAGTGTTCACAGATGGAAAATAACGAAACTTACACACAAAATGAATAATTTTTTATGATTATATTTTAAATTGGGATTCGATCCGCTCTTCATTTCATTTCTGGACTTTTCAACCGAATGTATATACATTATCATAGTGACGTGTTACGGTAGGACTTGAACACAGTACCTACTCACCTCTTCAAATTCTAAAATATTATTCACTAAACTATCGAGTTAAGATGATAACTATCAGTTGTTCAATATAGATGAGAGAGTTAATATGCTTTCGAATGTTGTTTATTGGAATTCATATGATATATAAACTCTATGCAGCTAAGGATGTGACTTTTAAAATAATCCATAAAATGTATATCCTGAATTCAAAAAATGACAGCTATATTCCAAAATTTAATCAGCTTACAAATGGAGGAGGAGAATATGAAGACATTAGGTATTTAAGAACTTCATAAACCGTTATGGATAGATCAATTCAGAGATGAATATTAATAACAGGAAAATACAAATCTTTATATAATAAATAATAAAAAGTTGAAATCATGAGTCAATTGAAGCTAGACTACCATGGAAAACCTGGAAGCACTGGACGGCCGTTTCGTGCTATTATGGGACTCCAGTGCTTCCGGGTTTTCCATGGTGGTCTAGCTTTAATTAACTCATGATTTCAACTTTGAAAAATACTGAAATCTCCACAAAACCCCTTCTGATAATAAATAGTTATTATGAAAGACAAATACTTCATTTTTAACAATAATAATAAACGTAACTAAATGAAATCTTACCATATCTATATCCAATAAATTTGAAAGATTGTTTTCCTACAAAGAAAAAAAAGTAACAAACAAAGTCAAGTGGAACAAATCATGAGTTTCAATGTTCAAATGATGGATTGGAAACCCAACTGAGATCATGATTCAATTCAGTATGATTTTGGCTCAATAATAATTCCATTTTTAATTCTGCATGAAATTTATTCATTATAATATTCTTTTTATTCATTCATTATGAACCTTGACTAGTATAATATAGAATATGTGTTTTACTGTAGTTTAGTGTAATATCCATTCCCATATTTCTTCTATTTTCGGTTACTTACTTACTTACGCTTGTTACTTCCCAAATGAGCATAGGCCTCTGACCAGCATTCTCCAACCTACTCTGTCCTGGGTCTTCCTTTCTAATTCTATCCAACACTTGTTCATTCTTCTCATATCTGTTGCCATTTCAAGGCGTAATGTGTTCTTTGGTCTTCCTCTTCTTCTTTGACCTTCAGGATTCCATGTGATGGCTTGTCTCGTAACGCAGTTGGGTGCTTTCCTTAATGTGTGTCCTATCCAGTTTCAGCACTTCTTCCTGATTTCTTCCTCCACTCCAATATGGTTTGTTCTGTCCTACAGTAGAATGTTGCTAATAGTGTCTGGCCAACGGATCCGAAGCATTTTGCGTAGACAACTGTTAATAAACACCTGTATCTTCTGAGTGATGGCTTTCGTGTTTATCAAAGTTTCCGTCATATCCAGCAGAACTGTCTTGACATTTGTATTGAAAATTCTGATCTTGATGTTGGTTGACAGTTATTTTAAGTTCCAGATGTTCTTCAATTGTATTTTCGTTTAAATACATGATATTCGTTAACTACTTATTAAACGTTAATAAAAATCGATAAATAATTAAGTATATTTGCTCAAATTGGTTGTCATGAATTTTTGGAGGTTAAATAAAGTGCCTATCTGAAATTAGTTTTAATTTTCTTCTTTAAGTCATGGAAATTACACTTTCCTACTATTCTGAGATTAGTTTTCCAACAGTTATAACAAGAGTAAACCATGTCTTATACAAGTAATTAATGAGAGAAACAAAGTTAATTATATACGGATTAAAAAAAGAGAATCTTTGTACAAATTTTCCCATTAATAAAATTGAGTAAAGAAAAAGAAACAATGAACACAGCAGGATATAAAATGAATTCATTCATTTAGTGGGTTCTCTTCAGCTGTTTACAATTTAAAAACAATGGTAATAATTATTCACAACTAATGTACATGCTTTATATTATTATTATTTATTATTTTATTATTATTATTATTATTATTAGCTTGATTCAATAATATATTATTTGGTACAAAATCGAATTCTCAGCACAAAGTATTTCAACATGTTTACGTTTCTTATTTCTTCGTTGCTCCTGATGATAAATATTTAGTGATCACCAGTTGGATGTCAGCAGTTCAGTCAATCGACATATGAATAATGTATATTCTTTTCGCTACATGCTCCAAGCAAACATGATATCTCTGATTAGACCTTTTGTAACCTTTACAGCGAAAGGTTGTACAGTTTTCAGAAACGCACCTGATTAGGTTATGTCCTTAATAGCCATAATGGTGTATTAAAACAAACAATAATAGATAACTTGTTGAAATATATAGATGACAGGAACAGGTAGCCCAGATGTTTAAGCAGGTCGCCCAAAAAGATTGATAAATATCATTATACTAACGAAGATTAGTAGAGTCATAACATCAAGTATGGAACTATTATAGAGTGGTAAATTGGATAGATGGTTTGAATTATTTTTTCTTGTTAGCGTTTTTTTGGCGAGTTTGGTTTTCTACGGGATGGGGTCGCTAACCTCAACACTAATGAACTCACCAAACTGCATCATGAGGCAATCCTTAACTTGGAATCCGGAAGGGAAGCGGAAAAGAGGAAGGCCAAAGAACACATTACGCCGGGAGATTAAAGCGGATATGAAAAGGATGAATAACAATTGGAAAGAACTGGGAAGGATTGCCCAGGACAGAGTTGGATGGAGAATGCTGGTGAGCGGCTTATGCTCCTTCACGAGAGACAACAGGCGTAAGTAAGTAAGTAAATTGGATAGATATTTATATTTTAACAAATGGGAAGATTTTAGAAGGAAAATTTTAAAACATATGGAGGCACGTTTCTAGAATCCATAAAATAAATAAATTCATCTTATCTTGTTAGGTTCGTTGTTTTCACTTTATTCAAATGTAAAGAATTACTGAAAACTGTGAAAGATTAGATTATAACAATAACCAATTTGTACTCATCTAACACGATAAAACAGTATTAGTATCAGTTAGTTAACAGTAACACAGAATCAGGGCACATTAAACACAATAGAATGAAATTATCAGGGTGTTAATCAACTCATTTATACATTTATATTACATTGAAACATTAACTTGCAATAAAAAAAACACACACATATATTTATATATACCTTGATAAATGAAAAATGATGAGATTCAAAGCCTTGTGAATTAATATTATTATTATCATCATTATTATTATTATCAATAGGATACAATTGAGAATTAAATTTCATTGAATGATCATTTTTAATTATTACTGATAAATCAATATATTGATTTTCCATTGTAATTTGTTTTAAAATTTTATTATTTAACCATATTAATAATTGATAAAATTTTAAATATAAATATTTATTGAAATGAAATAAATTAAAAAAATCATTTTGAAGTTTGATCAGATTAATTTTTAATGAATTCACATCTATATCATCTATATCATTAGATTGTAATAATATATTATCTAACATAGAATATGAATAATTCATTTGTTTATCATTTATTAACATTAATAATAAAGTTATATCATCAAGCCAATTAGTTAATCGTAATTTAATAATATGTAATAATTCAATACATGATAATAATTCAGATAACGATGACGAGGACGACGTCGACGACAAAGATGACGACGAAGATGATGATGATGATGACAATGTAGAAGATAATAATGGTATAATTTTTGATGATTTAATAATTGATTCTGATGATATATTTAATATTTTTTCAATATTGAAATTTTCTTCTTCTTTAATAGGAAATATATCATTAATATGTTGAATATAATAATCTAAACGATTTTTTGTATATTTTAAATGTTTATCAAATTCATTAATTAAATAATTTAAAATTTTATTATCAACAAATTTCTAATGATTTTTATTATAAAAAAAAAGAATAAGAAAACAAGTAAATGTAAAGGAGGTCTTTGAAACGATAATAATAATAATAATAATAATAATAGCAATAATAATAACAATAATAGTGTGTGATTTAAAAGTAACTTATTTATAAGCTTTATTACTTTTTGTATTATAATGTTAATTAATTAAAGGTAATCGGTAAGATATGCTGCGTTTAAGTTTTGAGTAGGGCATAACTGTAATCATTACGTGTTAGCGGGACGTAGATTGGATTAAAGCATGTTTCATGCATGATGGTGTTGCTGTGCGCTGATTGGCTAATTATAAAAACGGTCAGCTCGGGCATATTATTGGAGAAAACTCTAGAAGCTTCTTATGTATATACTATAAATATATGAACGATAAAGTAGTGATTGCTGTTCACTTATTATTATTATTTTGAATACAATTTGATTCCTGTTCAACGTGTTCTGATTTCGGGGTCTTGTCGAGTGTCACCGTATAAGAATACTAGACAATAGGAATAGCTGGGTCGTTTATATAGCAAAAAATACAATTATAATATTACGGAAATAATACTTCTAATGGGGATTCATATCTACATCACCTATTCTTATCATTTAGGAAAACATTTTACTAGCATGGTTAGCAGAGATGGATAGTGGCTAGCCACTATCCATCTCTGCTAACCATGCTTGTGAATTAAGGTATATCGAGGCAATACGCACAGTATGCACATATGCCAATTAGAGACTGACCAGTTGCAGTCCTAACAAATCGATGGGAAGATTCAAACAAACAATACTAAGTTGTATTTAAACATTTTACTGTTGAGCTGTTTAGTCAACAATTGATATATATATATATATATATATATATATATATATATATATATATATATATATATATATATATACTTATAAATCATCATCTGTTTTTTTCATTTTCTTTTATATATGGAGATTTACAATAACTAGTACCAATATCTTACAGGTTATATTATATTCTGGTTAAAATGCTTCTCTTGTGTTAATTCATCACTCTTTCTCTCTTATAACATTATGTCTCTTCATAGTATATTGACAAATTTTGATCTTTATACAATATCCAGAGTGAATATCAACTCTGAGATGCAGGTACATTCAGCTGACGAGTCCCAAATAGGACGAAATGTGCGTCTTGGATTCCACTGCTAGCCACTATCCATTTCTGCTTATAATGCTTGTGAATTAAGGCTATATCGAGGCAATACACATATTATGCACATATGGCCAGTAAGAGACTGATCAATCGCAGTTCTAAACATTAATGAAAAGATTCAAACAAACAATGCCAAGTGAATAAACATAGTTGTTTGTTTTTTCTCTAGATAAAGAAGTTCTAATATATCAATATAACTATCGATCGATTTAATATTCTTTCTTTATTACATAGTTTAAATCAAAATAACACAGATAGAAACTATTTACATAATCTATTTGTTCGTGTGTGTGTGTGCAAGTGTAAATACATTAAACATTAATCAATAAGAGATTAATATATATTCTACTATCGTCATTCGAAATATACCAATAAATCAATAAAAACAAAATTGCACTGTATTAAACAATAAAAAAATTAAAATACTAAATGGTTAGTTAAATGTGTGTCTAGTCTAATAATAATAATAATAATAATAATAATAATAATAATAATAATAATAATAACAGTAATAATAATAATAATGATATGGTAGACAGAATAATGTGTAGAATGACCTATTTTACAAAAAGTTAAAACTATGCTTTATGCTTATTTGATTATCACAATTAGGGTTTGTAGGGATTGTAGTAATTTTAATGGTTGGATTCATGAGTCGATTAAAGCTAGACCACCATTGAAAACCTGAAAGTACTAGATGGCTTTTTCGTCCTAGTATGGGACACAGCAGTGCGCATCCACGATCCCGCACATGGGACTTGAACCTATGATCTTTAGTCTCGCACGCGAACTCTTAACCTCTGAACCACTGAACCAGTATCCAATGGTGTTAATGTCTAACTTCAAACAATCCACAATATTGCGCGATCGTACATCATTATCTTGAGTGATTAACTGCTTCACAACAGATACGGTTGAACTTCACTGGTCGGTTATGGCTTCTCACTAGAACTCCAGGAAATTTATCTTGAAGCCAGTCATTAGTGAGCACATGATGATGATTATTATCAAAAATGCGGGTCTATGGAGATTGTAATAATTTTATGGCTTAAATTTATCAGTCCATTTAAACTAAACCACCATTTGATTTAACTGAAATAATTAAAAAAAATTGGTTTTTATATAATCCAAATATTAATTAATTAAAATTTATTCCGCTTTTAATTATTATGATTAATTAGTTGAAATTCAACCACTAAGTTATAAATTTTGATTGATTTCTCTTTAATTCTAGGATTTTAAGAGTTGGGTTTTATTATTAAATTTATACGATAAATTTTGTCTCAAAATCAAATATTTAAAATATTTTTACCAAGTGAATCAATGATGTTAAATTTAATTAAGATTATCCGTTTACAATAAATTTATATAGTTGAAATCATGAGTCAATTAAAGCTAGACCACCATGGAAAACCTGGAAGCACCGGACAGCCGTTTCATCCTATTGTGGGACTCCTCAGATGTGCACATTCACGATCCCGCCTCGTGTCATTTGAACCCAGGACCTACCAGTTTATAGATCAAAAATCTGTTTTATCAAGTAGAAACTATTGTAGTATTTAATCTAGTTTGGACTATATAGTAGAAATCTACTAAAACCTTGACACTTTATGAATCATACGCTAACCATATTCATTAAGATAATCTTAAAAGATTATTCACTCCAACTGATTATCAAGTTTAAGAGACTAGATTAAGCTAAGCCAGTTTTCTTTTCACCATTAATTATGAAATATATAAGGATTACTGGCCAAGTTTGTACTCGGGTACACTGAATTTCAGATGACTGGCTGTGTTATTTATGAACAACAACATTAAATTGTTCATCATCAGTATATTGTCATGTTTGCTAACTGTTTCTGGTGAGTTAAAAGCGGTTATTAGTGAAAATTTCGGAAAATAATAATTTAAGACCCAATGTCTTATTGTTTATTTTAATCGATCTAATACCAAGAATTTAGAGATCTGGAATTAAAAAGTCAATCAGTTTAAGCGTCAGACAACTTTCAATAACGTGATTCATCATCAACGTCGCACATATTGTGATGTATAACGTTTTAATGTAGTGAGTTTTTATCTGAACTAAAAATATCCCTGATGACATCAATTCTTATCAATGCACAAAAGTAGAAGCTATGACAAAGTGATACACATTCTTGTACTATTTTTAAACTTCAAGCGTTCAAGCAGGTAACAAGTCAATAAGTAGACGATATATGGTTACAAACCATTTTTAAAACATTTATTTATGATTAGATAACGAATCTGAAACCTGTTAGATTGCCTAACTAAAACTCAAACACATAATATTCTCAAAGGTGATTAAAAATTGGACAATATTCCTTAAAGTTAAACATCAATCTTGACAAACAACCAACATGAGTGATGAATTCATTATTTGACCGATTCATAATAAGTTACCAGGATATCATTGTACTAATGCCACACTAGCGAGTTTTGTTTAAAAAAAATTCATTTAAATCATGAACCGACCAATGTTAGATTTGATTACGGCGTGCTGAGTCATGGATGTTCACTGCTAAAAAGTCTCGTACTACAATGAAACGACCATCCAGTGCTTTTAGGTTTTCAGTAGTGGTCTAACTTAGATCGGTTCATGATTGCAATAAAGCTGAAAGATTTCTACAACCCTATACTGAAAAAAATCATCCAATCAAAATACTTACATATTGTAATTTTGAAATCCATTTCTTTGTGCCTACAATTAGTTTTCGCCAGACAATATTCAATTCATTCAGTAATTCGTCTTGATCAGTGGTAACAACTGATGTACTACTACTTGGTACAGTTGACTTCAATGAAGAATTCGTAAAATTTATTCGAAAACCATAAGCATTCAATTGACCGAGGAATTTTTTCAACTGATCACAAGATGTAGACAGATGAGTTAGTGATAATGATTCTCCAACTTGATTAACATTATGAAAACTCCTATCGTCGTCATCACCGTCATCATGATGATATGTGTCCAGTTCATATAGGTGACGCTCCACCTTAGTTAGACTCATTTTAACTTGAGATAGTAAATCATACACATCAGAATTCGATTGAAATTTTCTAGTGACAACACTTGAAGCATGTGAACTTAATTTATGAACGGGGTTGTATTTAACAGGACTCCTTTTATTACTTATTAAGAAAAGCAAACAAACATAAAAAGTTGATATGTAAAAAATTCAATAAAAAATTAGTAAACACAACAATGTTTACATGTGGATATTGGCCAATTTATCAGTTGGTTTATTTACAGGTTATTATAGGATGATAAAGGTGATATTGGGTAAAAAACAGTAGTGTGGTGTATGTTACTCATGTCGACATGAGTAGTATGTAAAATCAATCAGAAGTGGAATGCTTAGTAGCAGAAGGTTTGGAAGAGAACGGGAACAGAGGGTTTGAGATAATTAATAAACGTTCTGTAAATGAAGAATCGAACATATAGTTTTCAGATTTTACCAAGAAACTCTGTAATTCTATGTTTAAATACATTGGTTGTCCCCATTTCTGTTCTCCTTCACTACAGTAGCAGTAGTGTTCGTCTATACTCACTCTTCGTCTTTTATTACTTGAACCTTGTATTTACAACTCTGTCCTTTACATTTCTCTATCTAATTCATCTATTTATGTTTGGTTCTCATCATGATCAATAAAGCTATTATTATTAGTTCTAATCTTCCATATTTGTGTCTCGCTAATTCACTCTCATTAGATTGATTTAAAGAACGAAATATTGGATCAATCAAGATTGTCACCAAGTTCTACAATATCTATGATTCTCTGACAGATCACATGTTGGAAGGTCAGAAATATCACGAGCTATTTCATGATCACGGGTGGTAGGTGGAAAGTGATAGCCTGGAAAAGCTATTTTGAGAAAGTGGATTATTCACCTAACCGAGGGCATCCCCCGAAAACCATTGTATTTATCGTTCTGCTATTGTGAATATATCCTCACTATTAATGTAAAAATTCATTTGGCCCTTAATAAAAGCTTCCTATCAAGTCATAGTCACTTTACTATTGCATAACTAGTCCAGTTAATCGTTAGGAAGCATGTGTTATGGTTTACATGACACAATGATATTCTAGGAACAGAGATAATTGGTTAAGTTTCATATTATCACACAAAATACTGCACATCTTCATCACCAGAGAAAATCAAATCAATTTTGCTATGACAGATGACATGGAATCAGTGTTGTTGCTGGTAAACCAACTTAATCACTTCACTCCATATTTTGCAGATTGAAAGATAAATTCAAGATCATTTACAAAACTAGTACAAATTGTGATAAACACTACACTAGGCACAGTAGACGCTATCATCATATATGCATACACAAACGGAAACTATCAATGCAACAACACAGTATGTTATTATTGATATCAATAAATGTAGACAATCAAAAACATGAATTCAAATGGAAGAACATAGAAATTCTGGATTGTGGGGATTCAGATCAATCAACAATCGACAGACGAACCGAGTTAAACCCAATCAAAAAACCTGTTTGAAAAAAGTCAATCAATAAACTGACCGTTACAGTAATTATCAACTACACAAAATAAAGTCCATATGGTGTAGGGAGGTGGCAAGTAATATTTACCAAAACTTACCCATCAATAACTATTTTTGAAGTGATGTTATCATTATCGATCGAATAATCCGGTGACTTTGCAGTGCATGATTTGGAGACTAACTGTCTATGCTTTGAATCCATCAATAATAATGCTGATGATGACAGTGATGGTGATGGCTCATTGATTAATAAGTCAGATGATTTTCTTGATATTACGCTGCTATGTTTCTCTTTCAAACAATTCTTTGCCAAACCTATTTGATCAGGAACATTCGACTGAATTTCTGTGACAAAAAATTTAGAAAAGATAGTGTTTGATTTTCTTAAATGAAGATAATATTTATAATTTTTGTAGAGAAATAATTTTCAAATTGAACGGTAGTTAACTGATGAATAACAGTTGTCGTGAATTGATTTATTATTTGGAAGAATTATATGGAAAGGTTTAATACAAGTGCACAGAAACAAAACAGAATAGCTAGTTTAGTAAAAGTATGACACTGTAACACAATTTGGCGAAAATTTGAGAACATTAGTGAAATATTTCACATCTATATCAAGTGAGACGGAGCTTCAACACTGCTTTGCATTGAGATTTTCTTGAGCAGTGAAATAAAGTGAATTAGTTCAATTTACAAACAGAAAAATGTCCAGAAGTTTCTGAGATAATAGGAATATTGTAAATCGTACATAATTCAGTCTCATTACTTCATGGTTCAAACATATAATTAATGTATTTAACTAAAGTAAGAACGATAGACACAGCAGGATATAAAATGAATTCATTCATTTAGTGGGTTCTCGTCATCTGTTTACAATTTAAAAACAATGATAATAATTATTTACAACTAATGTACATGTTTTACATCATTATACTAACGACGATTAGTAGAGTCATAACATCAAGTATGGAAGTATTATAGAGTCGTAAAATGAACAAATGTTTATATGTTACTAAATGAGAAGACTCTGGGAAGGTATGTTTCCAAATAATGAAAAACAATGTTTAAGTTACATAATAATAACCATTACAATTGTGTAGATTAACACAGTAAGACGAATAAAACTCAAAAATGACCTAAAAATCTTTATGAAAATGACATTAACTATGTATATTGGTTGTAAATAATATGTATTATTGTTTTTAGGATGTAAGCAACTAAAGGGAAACTTCGAAATGACTTACTTACTTACTTACGTCTGTTACTCCCAATGGAGCATAGTCCTCCGACCAGCATTCTCCAACCTACTCTGTCCTGGGTCTTCCTTTCTAGTTCTATCCACTTTTTCGTAGTTTTCGTAGTTCACCACGTCTCCGCCCCATACAGTAGGACTGTCTTGACATTTGTATTGAAAATTCTGATCTTGGTGTTGGTTGACAATTGTTTTGAGTTCCAGATGTTCTTTAGTTGTGAATACGTTGCTCTTGTTTTGCCGATACGCGCCTTCACATCTGCATCAGATCCACTGTCTTCATCAACGATGCTGCCCCGATATGTAAAGGTTTTCAGATCCTCAAAAGCTTCTCCATCAAGTGTGATTAAATTGGTGCATGCTGTGTTGTATTGGAGTCTTGCTTTTCCTTTTGTGTATGTTGAGACCTACTGCTGCTGAGGCTGCTGCCACACTGGTCGTCTTCTGCATTTGTTGTTGCGTGTGTGATAAAACAGCCAGATCATCTGCGAAGTCTAAATCGTTCAGCTCCATCCCGTGCTTCCCTCCAGATGTTGACGTCTTCATGATCCAGTCGATGACCAGGAAAAAGAGAAAGGGTGAGAGTAAGCAACCTTGTCTAACACCGTTCTTTACCTCCAGCGAGTCAGTGAGTTGTCCTCTAGCACGATTTTGCAGTTTAATCCATCATAGGAGTTCCGCATGATATTAATTATCTTCTCAGGCACGCCGTAGTGTCGAAGAAGCCTCCATAGTGTTGTCCTGTACACGCTGTCAGATGCCTTCTCGTAGTCAATAAAGTTGATGTAGAGTGATGAATTCCATTCAATTGATTGTTCCACAATGATCTATAGGGTTGCGATTTGGTCTGTACATGATCGATCCTTACGGAATCCAGTCTGTTGATCTCGAAGTTGGGCGTCCATGGAGTCCCTCATTCTGTTTGACAATACCCTATTAAAGGCTTTTCCTGGTATTGAGAGAAGAGTGATGACCCTGTAGTTATCACACTTGCTTAGATCGCCTTTCTTTGGTATTTTGGTCAGAAGTCCTTCTTTCCAGTCTGTTGGTGCTTGTTCTTCATCCCAAATCTTACTGAAGAGAATGTGGAGAATCTTTGCAGTTGCTGCTACATCTGCTTTCATTGCCTCTGCTGGAATGTTGTCTGGTGTCGCTGCTTTGCAGCTCTTGATTTGTCTAATGGTCATGCTGATCTCTTCAATTGTTGGTGGGCGAACATATTCTATTATGTTTATTGTTTTTGCTTTAGTCAAATTCATAAACGGGAAAACAGCCACCGAAGTTGTACTAATCTACAGGTATTCTAACAAGCCAGATTGATTTTATCTGTATTGTTTATCTGTATTAAAATGTTTATATTTTTTAATCTTTGTTGACTTCCATGTTCACTAAAATACTTCATCTTCATTGACCTGACGAGAAATATGTTATAACATGTATCGACTATGTTGTGTTCAAAGTTCTATTGGTACTGATTGTACCACCACAATATATGGTTAAATTATTGACTAAAGTCGAGTGACTTTATCACTGAATAATAACGATTCAATCAAAGTAATTATGCCACAGAACTGAAGTGAATTAATCCCACAAGCCATATAATCTATATAGGCAGATTTATAGATATAATTTGCGACCTTACGTGAATTCGCATTCATCAACGGAGGCTCGAAACCACTGTATTTATTTTGATTCAGGCAGCCAATCAATAACATTACTACTTTAGAAATACCAGTATACGCATGTCGAAGAACATATGGATATCAAAATAACTGTCTGCCAACATCAAAGTCAGAATCTTCAACACGAACGTTAAACAGTCGTACCGTAAGGAGCTGAAACTTTGAGAACTACTGAAACTATCATTAAAGCAGTAAAATTATTTATAAGCAGTTGTCTACTCAAGATACTCTATTTCCATTGACTAAATATCATCAGCTGCAGCCTACTGTGAGAAGAAAACAGGTTCCAGATGAAGAGGAAATTAGGAAAAGACACTGGAAGTCGATAGGACATACATTACGGAGACCATCAAACTGCACCACGAGGCAAACCCGAACTTGGAATCCTGAAGGGACATGGGAAAGAGGAAGGCCGAAGAACGAACTGAGTCGGTAATCGAAAGCTGACGTGAAAAGAACGAAGAGCAACTGGGAAGGTTTGCCTAGGACAGGTTCGGTTGGAGGATGCTGGTGGGCGGCCTATGCTCCTTCACAAGGGTTAACAGGATTGAGCAAGTAAGCATGTTAATTTTACTTATGGTATAAATACCGATAGATGATGGGAGAGACATTCAAACTGTAGTGTATGATACTCTGTGTGTATATATAAATCTTACCACACTACAATTAACAGATAAAGCCTTAGACGTTGGTCAAGATTATATTACTCGTTCTCCTGACGCTTAGATTTTAGTATCGGTAGAAATGAAGAACGAGTATTCTGCACAACATTTTCGATGAACTGACTATTCGTTTAAATCTTGAAGAACATTCAAATCAAGCTAAAAATGCTTTCAAAATTACGACAATAGAAACATAAATAAATGTTATCAAATTCGATATTACGTTGTTATAGTCAGTAATGTGGCGTAAAACAGATTTATCAATTCTGCATTGGTTATAATTCATCTATCCAAAATGATGCAGTCAAACGTGTTGATTATTGTTCCTTGAAAAACGAGTTGTACAAATAGCTAAACAACAGTAGTTGAATAAGTTTATGCATGCCGAGTAATTTGTTCTGTACTATGTGTACTGTGGTTGACAATAATTATGTAGCACTGAACTTATCATGTGATATTATTTATGATGTTAAATAAAATCTATCAAAAAGAATATACGTATGTCTCTTTTGAATTGCAAAAGTGTTATCTGTATGTAATAAACAATCATTATCTAATGGTATTTAGAAAATACAATAAAAGTATCGATAACACAAAAACATTACCGTTATTAAATGATCTCACAGTTGTTGCTGACGAGTGATCGGACTCCGCTTGAAATAATGATGGCGACACAGGCTTTATATCATTTTCGGGAATAATATCCTGTATTGTTAAATAATTAAATAAAAAATCATTCATTATTGGTAACTTGACATGTTGAATCAAGGAGAATGGTGCGTATTCTTTAATCAGGCTGAAGCTATGTTCAACAATATCGTCAAGTACCAATTCAAAGAAATAAAGAAATGTAAAAGATAAATCTGCATGAAAAATTTCTACAGTAGGGACGTATAAACAAGCAGTCTGTAGTGTGCCTGTTCGTTTGATTACTGAGTATTTATTTGGACCAACTTTGGGATTCGATAAACATGAAGTGCGAGGTTTACCTAATGATGTTGAAGATTGTTGCCGATTTACATTTGATAATCTATAACTAACAGGAGAAGAAGTAGAAGATGGCAATATCGCTAATGGGTGCTGTTTTTGTGATTTAGGCGGGAGAGTAGTTTGTGATTGATTTTGTGGTGACCGAACAGTTAAAGGTAGACATTTTGTTCCATAAGTTTTACTAGAATCTTGTTTATTAATTTGTTTCTTGGCTAGTACGACAGGTTTCATTAAAGTAGGTTTTGAATGGGCAATAACTGAATTTATAGTTTCATTATTTTTAGTTACAGAATTCGACAGTCTACTTTGATCCATGTTATCATCTGAAGAACAGATATTATCAACTAAATGCTTAGAGTTTTGAAGTTTTTTCAATCTTTCTGATCGATTCACATTTCCCATTGTCTTCTTTGTTGCTGCTAATACAGATAAGGTAGATAATCGATTAGATGATTGACAACTCTTGATAGAATTCTTAAATGAATCACTAGTATCAGTATTTTTTTCTTTTTCAGCCACATGATTACGTAAACATTTGGATTTTATCACTGGGAAATGTTTTGTAGATCTATAATTGTTAATACGTGTACATTCATGTAGTTGATTTCGTTGATATTGTTCATGTTGAATTATTTGTTGTTCATTATGATTTTGTTGATTTCTTTCATTATTCAAATTCATTTCATTAAATATTAACCCATTATTATTTGTTGCAAATATATAATTTTTAGATGTAAACATATTTCTTATTACAACTGAATATAAATTTATATTGATTAAATAATTCAATTGTTTAAAATAATCAATCAATGAATTATTGATTAATTTTTGATTTTGTATATAGTTTATTTGATAATAATTTTTTAACCAATATCTACTATTAATTAATATATAAGTAGTATATTTTTGATAAAATTGTTTAATATTTATTAAAAAATAAGGTTTAATTAATTTATTCATATAGAAATTTGTTGTAATAAATATAGAATGAATAGATTTATTGATTATTTTATTATTATTACCATCCATTGATAAAATATATTTGTTATAATATTTATATTCAATTTGTAAAGGATGATGATATAATATGGGATACTTTTTATTTATATTAAATTTATTTAAAAATAATAAATAATGTTTATTAGTATTAGTAATATATTTAATGAATAATGTTGAATTTTTTTTATTTTTTAAATTTAGGATAAAGAAATATTTCGATATTTCATTGTTATTAGTAATAATACTACTTATAGTTGTATTTATATTACTAATTAAATGATCATTTTTGATATTATTATTATTATTATTATTATTCTTCATTATTCATTAAAGAGATAGAAGAAATGTTTAAGATTATTTTGAAGCTTGATATTTGAATGATAATGATAATAATCTGGACTATAATTAAACAATTCACATTGGTAGTTTAATTCCAAATAACTATTTTGTTTTCTAAATACTCTATTATGAGTGTGATTTATCTTTTTTAAAATACTTATTTGGATCGATAATAGGAACTAATCAATCATATCAATATTGAATGTAATTAATTTATACAGTTGTGTTTAGTTGATGATGTCTACGATGTGATGGAGATTTATTCTACTTAAATAAATTATTGTTTATTGAATTATCATGAATTAAATAACTAAGATAGTGATAAGTCTTGTTACAAATATGTTGAAATCTTCTTCCTAACATATTTCAATAAACCTCAACTACTTCTACACGTCATATGAAGTAAAATAGAAAGGATGTAAATTGTGAGTAAAAGCTTTATTTCAAGGTTAGGTTATATACAAAGAAAAATGAGGGTATTTATAAAGTCACACACGACTTTGGGTTTCTGGAACCATACCAAGCATAGTAGTAGTATAGGTAAATATCCAATAAAAATGATTCTGTATTTCGCAGATGATTCTGAAAAACTTTTTTTCGACGCTGATCGGACAAAACGTTTCCTGGAGTTTCCGAGCCTCTAGAGACTTTTAAGATACTTTGGGACTCTCAAAACAGTAAGATAAAAGATGGAGGAATGATGTCAAACTCTAGGTTTGAATTTCTCATGCATTGACAAATGACGCTCACAAAAAATTTTACTTCTTATATTTTGATTTACTGGTTAGCGTTTTTTTAGCGAGTTAGTTTTTCTACGGGATGGGGTCGCTAACCCCATGCCCAACCCTCCTCCTTTACCTGGGCTTGGGACCGACAGTAACTCAAGAAGAGCTACAGGCGGAGTTTTATATTTTGATTTAATCCCGCTATAAGCATGCTTCTAGAGTTTATAACTTTTTCACTTGATTCCCTATTAGAAAGTCCATAGATTAACTCAAATGTGTAAAAGAATGGCGGTGTTTGATGAAAACATTAACAAAACACAATCTTCTGAATGATTTGAATATCACATACAAGGATATTAGAGATGTAATTCTCTTAAAAGAATAAAGCTAGGGACACCAGTAGTTTGTAGGAAGGTTAAGTCAAACTTGAGGCTTGCCAATTCGTAGGCTCAATCTGACTCCAAAGTTTATAAAACCCGATTAATTTTAAACATTTTCTTTGGTTTATCACAATATACAACAAGACTTATTTGACAACATGACATTAGACGTTGGATACGAAGTGTGTTAGGAAATTGATATATTTCATGCGAATATATTCAACAGATCACATGTACGGTGTACATTGTTTGTAGGACATCGGAATTATATATGGCGTATGTGGTCGTGAAACGCTTGTCTAGTATGGATGTAAACTTTTCAGTCCAAATCAATGGAAAAGTAATTGTCTGATTCGATATAGCCCAAGAATAGTATAGGCGCACACACATTCGCGTATAAATGGTATATGCGTAAAACGTTAATAAATAATCATGAAAATACTTGATAGCATTAAGATAGTTACAATATTGAAACGAGATTTGAGCGTTGAAATAATCCAGACAAGAACAAGTCTACGTGAATGTGAGGCTGTTACGAGTTCTTTCTAGTTGTAAAGTCTTGCTTCAAGGTAGGTCTCGAAAAACTTCAAGACTAACCATGGGGAGAGAAATCTCATCATTTCTGATGAACTGACAGCTGAAAAAACTTAGAACAGATGGAAAGAGCTCGTCTGGATTCCTTACATTCGTGTCATTTGTGATGAAACATCTGTCTTTCTGTCGAAAGGCTAGTATACTGTACAAGATCCCGATCTCTATTATTGTGTAAGTGTGGAACATGGTTTACGAAGATGGTGGATGTGTTTATGTTGCAAACATGTGATCATAAATATATTTGAAGCATTTTTCTTGTATATCAAACCCATACATTGGGTAGTGTTTAGGTTAGCGGTACAGTATTATTGTTATATCCCCTGGTGAATTATGAATGATAACTCTAAGGACTATTTATCGACCAATGTATTATGACTATTTCTTATTGTACAGTTGTTACGTAACTAAATTATTCATATTCGTGTTTTCTATTATTTTGATCTTTGATTTATGATCATACGATTCTTGAGTTATAATCAGTTTATTGATTACTTTGGTTTGTATAAAAACCCAGTATGCTTGTAAATAATGATTCATATTGCCGAGGCTGTTATTTGTGTTCTGGACTCAACTGGCTGGGCTAGACAGATAGGAAGGACCGAATAGCACCCAAGACTGCTCAGGGCATACGTTATAACAGTGGCGACGGGGATTTTGGTACGCAAAAGAAAAAAGTATACAGTTTTCGACGGGGATTCTGGAAAAAAATACAGCAATCAAGACTGCTTGTACGATTTCAATCATCATTTGCGGCCGATCAATAAATTCACTCCTCTCTAATCGCACGTTCATACAAATTACGGGCGCATACGATATAACAACTGGCGACGGGGTAAAAAAAAAATGGCTCTAACTTCCGATCAATTTCAGTTGCTAATCCAGCGACAAGAACAGCGCTTTAGGAAGAGTCAATTGGAATTCATTGACAAGCTACATGCAAAGCTGCTGAATCACACATGCTTTGGGGGTGCAACGGAAGTTGACGCATTAATTTCAAAATTGCGTACAGAGCTGGAAATCGATTGCAGAACAAATGAATATGCCAGTGAAAGCCTCTATGAATCCGTGAAAAGCAGTAATTTAAGCGAAACACTAGCAGTCACACATGATCAGCCCAGTAGTCCAGTATTGTCTGTTTCAGAGGCATGCCCTATACGTGGCTCAAGTCCTACTATCCCTGAAACAAAACGTGCGAACAATGAATCGTCCAGTTCACAGAAAGACAATATCTTATTAAGCGCCCATAAAATTGCTGCAGTACCCGCCCACGAAGAAACGGGGAACAAACCAAACAGTATAGTGAATACAGTGGTGCCAAATCAAACCAGTCATGATGCAAAAAGTTTTTCTAATGAATCTAATGATCAAGGTTATCTAATTGTTCTGCCAGATCCCGATTATTTTGCTGATTCATATGTTCCTGTTCAAATCTCTTATAAAAATGGGGGAAAAATATCGGATGCATTATATGATAATCAAGAATCCAATACAACTTTCATAGATGCTGATTATCCTAATGATTCATTATCTACTAATGAGGTTCCGAGTAAATTCAAGGAAACTGTTTCAGAAGAATCAGACGCTGGTGACCTCAAATCGAATGTCGTCGATCCTCACGATCTAATCAGTTCTGGCGGATTCTCTGTTAAATACGACGAATATGTTTTAAATAATGTCACAATAATGGTAACTTGGGTACATGAGGATCCAACAGTATATCGTGGGGGAGGATGAATTCGAGAAATTAAAAATCCGGATGTCAACTCCGGATTTCTCAAAAAGGGGAGGTGTTATATCCCCTGGTGAATTATGAATGATAACTCTAAGGACTATTTATCGACCAATGTATTATGACTATTTCTTATTGTACAGTTGTTACGTAACTAAATTATTCATATTCGTGTTTTCTATTATTTTGATCTTTGATTTATGATCATACGATTCTTGAGTTATAATCAGTTTATTGATTACTTTGGTTTGTATAAAAACCCAGTATGCTTGTAAATAATGATTCATATTGCCGAGGCTGTTATTTGTGTTCTGGACTCAACTGGCTGGGCTAGACAGATAGGAAGGACCGAATAGCACCCAAGACTGCTAAGGGCATACGTTATAACAATTATGTAGAAACGGTAAGCCGATTAATGAGATCATAAACAATCATCGACTAAAGCAGTTGCGACATGTGCTATCCATCCACACCCAGTTTCTATCCTTAAGATTATTGCTGGATAGTATAAAGTGAAAGAACATTAGGAAGGCATAACATTATTTAGTGAAATCACTGACTATTGTTCTGAACCTAACTTATGGTTGGAGTGATAAGTCTTGCTAATTGAACGTTATACCCGGATCCTAAGCTAGTCTCGTAACCCCCAAGCTAAATCTACACAGCGACTTGAACACGAGAGAAAAGGCGCTAAGTATGCGAAAAGCACTTTACTCCAATGGTTCATTTATGTACAGAAAATATAGGGTTTTAATAGTGTTTTAAAAGTCCTTGGGTTCTCCCGAAAATTCTGGAATGCTACTAAGCATAGTACCAGTGTAGTAATCGGCCACTCAGAAACTCTACATGTGATTTTTCATTTTCGTGATGTTTCTAGCAAAACTTCTAGTCAAACGCTTATTGGATAAAATGCTTCCGTATGTTTTCCTGAGCTTGGCAAGTCTGTTGCGAGAAATTTTCAGGATCACCTCAACATGGAGATAACCCGAAATCGGTAGTAATTACATTGTTTCTATATCTCTCTTTAAATGTCCAGTTTAATATCATCCCAAACTTTACGTTCCTCGATCATAATTATTCTTCCTAAACTAGAATTCTCATATTTAGTTTGCCATAGCACCAGATAGTTTTATTTTCTCTCTCCTTGCTTTTGATCTTTGTAATTTTAACCCTCAATGTGTTGATGTAAAATGTGGCGAACTGTATTTATAACCGTTTTTTCCAGGTTCTATGTTGATTAGAATTGAATAACTAACATATTGACTATCATAATTTCTAATAGTTTAAACAAAGACTAAAGTATCATGGTGAATAACTCGTCTGGACAAATCTAAGTTTTATGAAATATCTGTTTTTAAAATCACAGTAAGTTCATCTTGATGTTATTAAGCGCCTATGTGATTTATCCTAAGTTTTAAACAGATTTTAATAAGACTCAGACATGTGACTTTTAAGCCAGTTTTACACTTATAATAACTTATTTCATAGGAAAATGTGATCATCAACATGTGTCACTCCTATATTCACATCCTTGTAATTCTACACTTGAACATTTGTGTGCTTGCATACTTATTATTTTATCCAATCTCAGTCTACTTTTAGCATTATGCATTATCTATTTTGAGTTACATCAATGCTTCTATGAAGTACTATTTTGAGTAGGTACATACATCTCCTGTTTCCGTTTTAAGTCTCTTTATTTGTTTGACGAAATGGGTGTGTGAAGTGAAAACACTATACGAAACTCTCGTGTTTCGACTTTTGATATCCACGTTGTTATTAAAGTGATTTGTTGATCGAATATATACGAAGGCAAATAAGAGATGTATCATTCGATTGACAAGTAGTCAAAATCACATGCCTGAAAACTATAAAAAGTATTTTTAAAACTTTTAAGAAACATGTGAGATGAAGGCCAATAGTTATGTAGTGATTAATGTGGAATTTGAAGACAGTGTTCATGACACATTGACAATCACTAACTGAAAATCGATGTTGAGAAAAAAACAAGTTGCATTAGACGTGACGTTCTATTTCTATTTGGGATATTTCAGGAGAAACAATATGATTAATCTCAACACAAATATTACATTATTAGCTGACAGCTGCTAGGAAGATTTCACGTTGTTATCTAGGTTTTTACATTAAATGTAAATTTCAAGCAGAGATAGATAGTGTCTAGCATTGGAATCCAGGACGCGCGTTTCGTCCTATTTGGGACTCGTCAGCTGAACTTACCTACATCCAAGAGTTAACGTTACGGGATTCGAACTCACTACTGTTCACTTCAAATGCCATCGCATTATCCACTTAAATACTGAGTCCACTGACTTGTGCAATCGGGTGAAGTTTAATTCATTTGGTCTCGGTTGTTTGAATCTTCCGATTGACGTTTAGGACTGCAATTGATCAGTGTCTTATTGGTTCATGTGAATGCTGTGCGGATTGCCTTGATATTGCCTTAAGACACGAGCATCATAAACAATAAATGAATTAAATGCTAATTTCTCTTCCGTAACGATAGACTCAAGCACACTTTTCTAGTCTATATTTCGTTTCGACATAATCTTTGATGCTTTTTTAATCGTTGTTACCACTCCTAGTTTGTCAATTTTTTGTATATCATAGGGTCACATTTTGTCGTATGTACAGAGTTGCTTCATTCCAACTGGTTCTTCGTCGAAGTATTAGGTGTCTCTGAGCCCACTTCTTTTTCTTATGTCCCCATCGTTTAAAGATAATGTTGAAGTGTTGTGTGACAGTTTCAGCAGAGTCCAGTTGACAATAGATCCCATCCATATTAGAATAATCTTGACAGTTTGTCACTTGCAATTACTGTAGGCCCAACCAAACACCAATTCTTAATAGTTGCCCACAAGATTTAACAAATGCCTTGAAGAACAAAGATTATATAACTCACTTTCATATTGTTTACTATCATTAATTAAATACAACAAATATTTTAATCCACACATCACCTTGGAAAAATATTTACCTTAATGCAATTTTTCTGTCTCATCTCTTCCTGAAGTGGATCCAAGGCAGATAATGTTAAACTAGACCTCAGTTTTATTGAATCAGTAGATTCATCTTGATGAGTACTATAAAAAGTTTAAAAAGGGTGAGTAAAATTGATTTCTGTGCATCCTTCATACAAAAGTATATGGTTTCTAAAAATGACTAATTGTTTGAACCATAAGCCTATGTACTGTATCAATCCAATTCACACTTGACAGTCGTCACTAACTTTTAGTCAAGTACACTAAGAAATATCGATTTTAATAGATGACTTTCAAGCGATCGGGTTACGTATGCTTGATCTGCAGTCTATCTAGCAAGGTTTATTAAACAATCATAATGTGATGTCAATGTGCATCAAACACGAAAAACAGTTAAATTCACTTTGTATTTTTTGTTTGAATCTTACTATTGATGTTTAGGAATACAATTGATCAGTCTTTTATTGGTATATGTGCATCCTGTGCGGATTGCCTCGATATTGCATTAAGTCACAAGCATTATAAGGATGACGAGCTAAGTGGATAAAGCGATGGGGTTTGAAACGAATAGTGCTGGGTTTGAGTCCCAGAGTGAATATCAACTCTGGGATGCAGGTACATCCAACTGACGATTTCAAAAAGGAATGAAACGTGCGTTCTGGATTCTGTTGCTAGCCAACATTCAACTTTTCTTATAACAAAAGAAAGTTGTTCACATCAAAGTAAACAAAGTTGTAAACTGTCTTTTGATTAAGTGAGCACGATCTAATTTATATTGTGAAACATCTCTGTTTTGACTAACTTATATCTTATTTCATCGAGTAATGTATCATAAAGATACAAAATACTTTTATTCAGTATTACACATCAGGAATAGTCGTCATTATTATTTTTGTTATTTGGTCACTATTTAGGATCGCGAACAAGTTTCAATACTGGGAGAAGTAAATATTCAATATACCTTGGTTTTCAGACATGACAAGCCATGATGAAAACCATCAATAAAATTAGTTCACTTAAGATTTCAACTGCTTCTTTATGTTGAGAAGGTTTCATTTAAAATTCTGCGTAAATATGACCTATATTCATAATTGAACCTAGAGTGGTCAGGGATTTATTTTAGGCGGAAGCAGCTTGTTTTAGTTTATAAACTGTTATGATTGAGTCTAACTATTCTGATCAGGCCAATCCTTAATTCAAAATCACATAACATAATTACAAGCTTCGTGTTAGGTGAGCTGCAGAACGATTGGCTGACCAAAGAGTGACGATTTTTTCTGATAAGAACTTCATAATAAACTATCTTTTAAAAAGGAGCAAATAATTGGCAAAGCTGAAACTTTGAAAACTAATATCTGGCGAATCTGCATATACATATACGTATAATCTGCATTTATTAAACAGTGGATTTACGGTATTATTATATCGTTTTAATTATATGCATCCATATATCTCATTAACAGTTGATATTGTCGTTTATTATCAATAAACTACAATTTACTGATTATATACCTGTTGCTCAGTTTTATATACCGTAGATGATCTTGTTTGAGATTTATTATATATGGTTAGTTATGGTATTGTATTAAATGTATAATATAATGTGTTACAGTGTGAATAACAGGAGGCACATTCTGTTCCGGGGATAGAACTAATTAGCGTTATCATTTACTACAGATATGATGTGGAAATTAGTGTTGTTGTTGTTGTTGTGGTAAGCGGAACAAACAACACTATGTTGTGAACAGAACACTGGTTGGGGACAATCGAATGTATTTAAGCAAAGATTACAGACTATCTCGGTAAATTCTGATAACCAAACAATGAACAGTCAATTTGCAAATTAATAACCAATTGTTTCAATCTTCACTGTTTCTTCTCTAATTCCATTGCTCATGCATTTTCCAAACGATTGCGCTTCATTTCAGTTCTTTCCTCATCGGTCTTCTGCGAAAATACATTCTATGTCTGACCCACGCCATATACTACTTATATGGATATAAGTAGACAACACCACACTCGTCCCCCCTTTAAAGCATTCGTTCATGCGGTGGTTCTGCTCGCCACGCCGCTATCTTCTTCCACTGCAGTCTGTGCCAAACTCTCCGTCAGAATGTCGAGTCTGCGGCGCGCTAACCTCCATAGCTCCGTCGACCTGCCGGGGCACCAACATCCGCATCCACCCGGCACCTGGGACGTTCAACACCCGTGCTCCACCAGCCTGCTGAGCCATCTACATCCGATGTCCGCCCAGCAGCCGCACGTCCCACTGCTCCTCTCCGTCGACAGCACCTGCTACAGCCAACGCTGCCCCGCCAGAACACTCCACTCGACGCCACCTCTCCGCACCAGACTGCCCCAACTAGCACCTCAACTCCAGACCCGCATCGGCGTCCGCAGAACAGCACCCTTCCTCCTCCCGGTTGGCAGCGACACCAAATGTAGTGAACACAACACTAGTTGGGGACAATCGAATGTATTTAAGCAAAGATTACAGACTATCTCGGTAAATTCTGATAACCAAACAATGAACAGTCAATTTGCAAATTAATAACCAATTGTTTCAATCTTCACTGTTTCTTCTCTAATTCCATTGCTCATGCATTTTCCAAACGATTGCGCTTCATTTCAGTTCTTTCCTCATCGGTCTTCTGCGAAAATACATTCTATGTCTGACCCACGCCATATACTACTTATATGGATATAAGTAGACAACACCACAACTATACTCAGGTAAATCACCCTTGACAGTGTTGTTAATCATTGTCGAGTCGATGAATATAATAGAGTTCATTGAGAATGCACACTAGTGGTAAACACATACACACACATACAGTCAAAGAAAACCGGTAATAAGTTTAAAGTTTAAATGATAAACTATGCTATTGACTTTATGAACCACTGAGGTTTACCAAAAAGTTTTCAATGTCCAAGCAACGTATTGTATCCAACGTTTCCGGCTATCTTCCCATTCATCTAATAAGTGAGTGCTGAATATCAGACCGTACTTTCACTAAAGAGTTAATTTCAAGGGTTTGCAGCTATCCGCAGAAGTCTGGTGTAAATATATCAGTGTAACATACATATAATATATCAGAATAGAAAAAGAAATACAAATATGATGAAAGTTAGGGGTTGAAATGAAATCCTTAGTAGAAATTAACACTAATGTGTAGCACGCAACCACATAATGAACAGAAAATGTAAACGGAAATGCTAGATATAGCACATCACTTAAACAACTAAAAATATGACAGATAGCCTCGAACTTGTTTTATAATAAACAGTGACAACATTGAATAAGGTCACACACATATAAACTACTTACTTATTGTAATATTCAATGTATTTATTTATTCGATTTAAATAAGTATAGGAACAACAAAATTGACGCAATAAAACTGTTGTATCCGAATTAGCATTTATGCTGGTCCAATTGACTACTTTACATAAATTAACCAAATGATTATGAATGCATGTCATATACAATAATTTAAACTGAATTTCCTGTATATAAGGTGGAGAAAAAACAATACGGACAAATAAGAATAATGGTAACAATATTAATTATTCTGAATGGATTTTCTACACTTTGAACAAAGGAATCTGTCGTCATTCAGTCCTATGACTATCATATGAGATTTACTTAAAGTAAATCAAAGATAATTACAGTTAAACGTCGAGAAATGAATAATTTTCATTATAAAATAACGGATTGAATAGTACATCCTTAGAAGAACCAATTGGATCCTATTGGGTTAAAAGATTTTTAGATAAATAAACTGAATGAATTTATGAGATTTTGAATTTGCTTCATTTGAAGTGACTAAGAATTGTGTACACTATACCCATTCCTTTACTGTGAAATATCTTGGTGGGCGAAGAATGAATTCACAGTGACTATAAATCACGACACAGAAGTCAGCTAAGTTGATGACAACCGTTAATGTATATCATATCACAATCATAAAAAGTCACTGAATCATTTTATTCATCATTACCAACTAAGAAGCATAATATTTCCGGCTGACTACTATGGTATTCGACTAGTATGCTTTACTTCCTCACATAGGCGTTCACCACGTCTGTCTAATAATCCCTGGTTTTCAACAGTAACTCGACTGAGATCAATCTAAGGTCTATAAAAAATATAACGAAACAGTTGGATTTTAAATTTTTTCCAGGGATCGGAAATTTAGTAAAGTAGGTCAGTGAATTAGAGTTGTGACTTAGTGATATATGTCCTATTATCTGTAGTTCGGTACGTGCCTACAATACTTGTTAAGTTAGGTATGATTGAACGACTCAGATATGATTGGCGCTATAGTGCGATCGGTAACTGTAATCATTGCACGAAACTTCAACACCTGACAGCCAATGCTGGCAGATTAACTGCAAAAAAACCTGATATTATTAGTAAAACAAGTATTACAAACGAATTGGTACAACTCTGTATACATAGTAAGGAAAACATGACTTTCAAGCATACGGAAATTTAGTTTACTAAAAGCAATCAGAGTCAATCAGAAAAACGGACAGCTCATGCCGAAAATTGAATTTTGTAAAAAAGCACTTAGGGTTATCGCTTTAAAAAATAACTAAGCATTATTCATAAAATTTGAGGAATCTTATGATCATCCGAGCACTTCATTAAAATACTTGGGTTTCAACCAATAAGACCTATGTTTAGACTTCATCTAATCTACTTTAGTTTAAGCATCCAAGTAATAAAGTAACCCTTTTCCCTCGAACCTAATATGACTCAAGGAGAATTACATAAACCAATATTCCGCAAATGAGATACATTTTCACCATTTGTAGATAGTCATCCTTAGTGTAAAGATCAATTTTGAAAAATAAGAAAATCGGACTTAAGTCCTCTTATTATTAGGCCTGTGTTCCACTGACATACAATGAGTATCATTACAAAAATTTTCAAATATTAAAAACATTGAAGAATTGAATCAATCAATTAATTGTTTATTTAAATGATTAATAAAAAGGAAGAAAATCAGGACTAGCGGACCAATTAAAAAAACAACAAACATTTCTTTAAATTACCTGAATATTTGTAGACTTAGTTGAATGTACTGATTTAAGACTGTTCAGTGAAGTACATCTCTGATTAATTTCATGATATGGATATTGTATATACATAATATCGTCAACGTCGACTAATAACATCATTTTCATTTTTTCAATTAAACAATTTACATTAGTCTTGATATATGTCAAAATCTCTTCACATTCATGTTTAATGTTTTGTGTTAACTGATTAATATATACTTGTAAACAATTTATAAGTAGTATTGATAAGTCTAATTGTATTTTTACATTGATATCATTAACATGATGAGCAATAATAGTTTCATATTCATTGAGGCAAATTTGAAGTAACTCTTCGATTTTTACTAACTGACCTAAAAATATCTGTAACAGTAATATTTATAGTAGTAGGATAAGAGATCATAAAAAAAAACGTTGGGCTTAACTTTTAAGAGAAAAAAGACGTAAAGAAAAATATTATAATCAGAGATTGATAACATCAGTTAATATTATGATTCATTTCGGTCTACACAACTTGGAATACCAAAATAACACTGTACAATAAAAAAGAATGAATATAAATTCCAGGCTAACTTTCACTATACTCCCTATGTAACTCTTGAAACAGCGCCAAAACGGTAAGTAGAATTAAGCAGAAGTTTTAATTGGAGTCCAATCGACTATGGTATAAGATGAAAGTGTATAGGAATGTTTTTCTGAGTGTCTTTGAGAGTTAACCAATGATTATGAGAATTTTGTACAGTCATATTCCACTTCATGGATGAAGTTTAATGTTATTCAAATGAGGATTTAAACTGTTATGTAGGTTGTTTTGAATTGAATTCTTGAGAAATAATGTATTTACCAACAGTTAGAGAGTACAAATGAAAGTCAGGTAAGGTTTGAGAATTTTTTCGTTTTCATTTGTGATCAATCAATCAATAAAACTTATTAAGAAATCTCTTAAAAATGATATCGATAGAATGACTTCAACATTAGATTCAAGAAAACTGTCCATTGTAAATATAAACCGAAAACTACAATCTATTTGTCGTGTTGTGAGGTTCCCTATACTAATACTGATGTACAAGTATCCTTCATATACCTGAAACCGAACCACGTACTGGAGATTATCAAGAATAAGGAGGAAGTTTTGTTGACTAAAAGTGAACCAAGAATATATGTACACCTATTTATAAATATACATCTCTTTGCTTTTAAAAATAAAGTCACATTGTCAATCAATGGAATGTGTCTCAGTTTCTAAAAAATAAAGCCGAATCTCTGTTAACAGCTTGCTCTTATCTTTCGATCTACGTTTGGTTGGAACAAGGTATTACTATTTGAAGTTCTTTGTTTCTAGAAATAATTATTTTTAAATCGTTTACGTAAAGAGTGAAATTTCCTCATTCCATAAAATTAAATGTGAATTGGTCTATTTAATGCTGTTTGTTGTTCAAATATGAAGTCAAATAATCAATCCTAACTATTCCACCGGTTTGTTTACACTTAAGAGTTAACTGAGATCATACTTCACACAGAGAAATATCTATTATTCCTTGTGACCTACTTAAGAAATAAATCTTCGAAATTCCATGCTCATTAATAACGCTGTAAGCAGCACAAAAGACACTGATCCTAATCAATAAACTTTGAACAATTTCTAAAGGATTGTTAAATAACCATACGAAATTGAAACAGAACTACAGTTCATTCATTTTCGATATTTTTCTTGAGACACTAATATCTGCAAACTTAAGACTCTAAATTTCTGTTTGCATATTCTGATGTTTGTTTCACACTCACTTAAATTAAATTAAAACCTACAACCTTTCATTAAAATTAATTAATTAGCAGGTAAGAAAAATCATTCAATGAAAATCCATTAAGAAACCCACCTCTGCATTTTCTTGGAGTTCATCATTGAATGATGATGCCAGTACAGTTTCGTCTATAAAATGTATAATCCATTCTGAAATCATATCTATTCGACGTTGTAATGTAGTTAAATAAATTTGATTTTGTTCAAAATTTATTGTATTCTTTTCGTCATCAACCTTGTATTGATTTAAGGCTTTGAGGTGTTCTACTTGTTCATTGATTAACATATTAATGGAAGATACATCAATTATATTATTATCTATTAAAGGATTTCTATGACATATTGTACATAACACTTGTGATTTAGATGAAAGAAATATCTCATTCGTTATATGACAATTATGTATGATACCATCATTCACTTCATCAGCAACGATAGACGATGGAGATGATGAATTTTTAAATGTTCTCACCAAATCGCTAACAACATCATGTGAACAGTTTGTGTCTTCGTTAACAAATAGACTGTTTAATAATATTTGTTGCTTTTTCAACTCGTCTATCGCCTCTTGATAATTAAAAGACCGTAAAGACCGATGTATATCTACAAATGAAAAAAGACAAGAGCTAAATAACTTCACAACAACCAATGTTGATAAGATAGAATAAACCCTATTTCAATTTAATCAATATTTTACTGCTTGTGAGTGCGAAAGTGGCAGGACTTGACAATATACCAACTGGAGCACTGGTCACACATACAAGTAACTGCAAAAATGCTCCACATTCTAGTCAGGAAGATCTAGGAGGAAGAGTAAGTACCAACAGGCTGGAAAGAAGGCCACCTCATCAAGATACCAACGAAAGGGATCTGAGCAAGTGTGGAAACTATGGAGGCATCAAAACTACTATCGGTACCAAGAAACGTTTTCAACAGAGTGTTGCTGAACCAGAGGAAAGATCCAGTAGATGTCCAGCTTTGAGATCAACAGACTGGATTTCATAAGGATCAGTTGTGCACAGACCGAATCGCAGCACTACGGATAGTCGTTTAACGATCAATCGGATGGAACTCGTCACTATATCAACTTCCTTAATAATGGGAGAGCACTTGACAGTATGGATAGGAGGACTGTTTAGTCTTGATCAAGGTTGTAGCCAATTATTATGACTTGCTCAAGGTCGTCGCTAATTTGTTATGGCCTGACAAATTAAACACGGACGTAACTCGCGTGAATTATCCGCCAATAGAATACGACTTCTACAACCTTAACACTGTGTCAATCACGGTCGATTAATATGAGTAATCTCGCATCCTTATTGGTCCTTAATCCGCCTAGCCCGTCCACTTGAGTCCAGAACACCAATAGCAGCCTCGGCAATATGAATCGTTTACTTCAAACATACTTTGTTTATATACCAGACAGACAGGCCACATCACACCATAAAATAGAAAATAATATTTGTACAAAACCAAGCCAAATGTGGCTGTAAGCGTGGGAGACAATAATCAATAAAACGAGTATAACTTAGGAAACAGTAAATCATATAACAATAATCAATAGGTCAAAATGAGGCTTATAACGAGATAAATATAGATATACATAATCTACTCACTGAATAGTTATACAATAAGAATATATATAGAATAATCGTCCATTAATAGGTTCTGGGAGTAACCCGTACTTGTGTCTTTGCCACAATATAACAATGACTTAATGAAAACTTCTTCGACATTATGATGTTCCAGGGAAACGTGGAGAACTATTACAACCATCATCAAAAAGGTACAACTATTTATAAATAGTTGTTTATGTAAGATACTCAATGTCTGTTGACCGGATGCCATCAGCAACATCCTACTGTGAGAGGGAACAAAGCAGCTTCCAAATGAAAGCGAAATTAGAAAAAGACAGTGGCAGTGGATAGAACATCAGTCAGTCCGTCAGCTACAACGTAAGACCAGGTAAATACATGCATACATCGTGGAAATCACTAAACTGCATCACGAAGCAAGAATTAACTAGGGATCCTGAAGGGAAATGAAAAATAGGAAGGCCGAATGACACACTAAGTCGAGAATCGGAAGCAAACAGGAAAAGGGTGAATAGTGATTGGAAAAGATTGCCCAGGACAGAATTGGATGGGGAACGCTAGTGGGCGGCCTGTGTTCCTCCACGACGGGTAAGAGATGTAAGTAATTGTGAACATTTTCCTACGCTCCGTGATCACGAGATGAAAATAAATGAATTTTACCGTTCCTCTGCACCGTTTTCAAACTATTATAAGCAATTAAAATTTGTGCACAAAATCTTCATATGTCTACAATTGAACTTGAAACTGAAAACCATTAGTTTATTGGTATGTAAATTTATACTACTAATAAGTAATACATTTAGGAAAGACTTACTTGAACATCCGGATTTCTGTGGATATATTTGACTCATAACATTTGAAAATTCCGCGTTGTCTAACAGAGCATTAACATTATTGCACAAAGATACAATATGTATCCATTGATTCATAATGATATGTAACACTGATTTAAGCTGATGCAAACGAATACCAAGAATAAGCCAATCACTTGTCAAAATAGTGTTTGGCAAATTATCAGCATTATTAATTCGGCTACAGATTGTCTGATGAAAACTTTTTATAGTAAATGTGTGCGTAGAAACATAAATGAATAATGGTTCTAGTTGAATATATTCATTATACCATAACTATAGTTAAAGAAAAATAAAGAATGAAAACTGTTATTATTTGTCAAGTAAACAGTAAAAGGTGATCATCTTGGTAAGTATTTATGTATTCAATACAATGTTACGTTGTCGAAGACAATGAGTGAAAAGCCGCACTAGACTTAGAGCTTTTTATGGTAGATACTCGTCAGAATTGTGTATCCGAAGTCGTGATGAAACTAATCTTTATCGTGAGATTCGGACTGGGATCATCCTGTTTTACACAAGGAAATTTTACTGTTGAGTTATTCAAACTACGAACTATTTTGTTTGGGACTGAAGTATTTAAACTTACTGGTCACTGAGTAATAATCTATATAGTGTTTGTATAATCCTTAATGATGATCGATTTTACCGGCTAAGTGGAAATTTGGTCACGTTAGATTAATTGTTAAGTAATACGAAAACTAGGTTCAATAATCTCTGTTGATTGCCTTCAACCCAATTAGCATTAAAACATGATACATGCGATGTTAATTCACTTAGAATAAAATTATAGTCAGCAAACACGACTAGACAAACATGACGCTCGCTGTTACTCAGTAATTGGTCACGATATATGGTTGGTTGACGTAAGATACAGATAGCTATCTTCACATTTGTGGATTTACCATCATACATTTAATCTTTAGTGTTATTGACATCAGATCACATTTTTTCTCAAAATTTGTAGTTTGATTGACATTATTTAAAACTTCAATAATCCATAAACATTTAAAATCGTCACAAACCCTTACGTAATCAAGTACAATTGAATATTGTTTTCACCTTTCTTTATCTTTTAATTTTACAAATATACAAAATACAGTTGGAATGCTTATTTTCTATTCAACTATCGACTCATATATTCTCTTTCAAGCTAGTCAGTTAACCGGTCATACTAAGATAAATCAAGTGAAAAGAATTGATAAATATACGATGTTTGCATAAAGTAAATCAGTGAGATTGAAGTGTTTTTGATTCTATATTATCGAGTTTCATCATACAAAGTTTGATTCCATTAAACAAAAACCCGAATGTCATAGAAAATATTAATAATTTAATAGATTTAAGTGAGAAATCCCAACATCACATTAATAGACAGACATGACTGTGTCCAAATAAATCTACAGGTTTATATGGTGAATTTATTATGAATTATGATAATATCAAATTTATAATCTAGTCGAGATCAGGGAAGTAGCGAATTAATTTAAAATATTTAAAACCCACTCTTCTTACTTAGATTCTAGCAACCAGATAGTAGTATCATTAGCTTTAGCACAAAACAATGGTAACAAAATTAATAATTAATAAAGTGTTGATCAATTATGTTTAAGTTCCCTATCTACAGTAAAATGAACTAAATGGTCAATTACTAGAATAAATTCAGAAAATCTGAGTTTTAGGCAAAACAACCGGAACTGAAATAATCTAATTATTGATAGTAACGTCAATAAACTTTATTTATTTACTTAGACACATAACATTGGTACAAGTAGGCACCAAATATATATGCACCATACAAATAATTCAATTTATGCGAGGGCTGAGATACTACCCGGATGCCGAAACTGAAGAAAGTGGTTTTCTTAGGGGGTCATACCTCAAGCCTTTGACACAGCGGTCTAATCCACAAGACAGTGGAGTAACGTAAGGAGATGCAGTCCAATGGTAGTTGATAATCAACAATAAGTTCATACGTCATTTGTTCGCTCAAGATCTTAAAGCTCATGTGCACCACTGGCTAAGAATCAGGGTTTTCCAACTCCCTTAGGTGAATCCTCCGTATTCACTAACATGTTCAAGGTGCCGAATATTCTCTTTTTGTCCTCTCAATTTCGTAAACAACAGCCCTGCCATGAGAAGGCAGTGAGTAGGACTTCTTTGTCAGTGGTTGTATACGTGTGGTCATGTGAGTATTTCGAGGTGAGCGAACTCTCCCCACCCTCGACCGTACCAGGGGATTTTGGGGTGAAGCAGTGTGTATCAGCCAATAAACGTAATAATAACTTTCAAATAACAAAATGACATATACTATCTAACAAAAATTATTTTCATTCCGTAACATTATCAATACTTACATTTACATCAATACATTGTTTGATAATATCATCTAATTTGAATTTGAATGAATGTTCATTAGTTGTTACAAATAAACTCTTCATTGAATGAATAATATTTCGTTCTAATAAATTAAATCTTTGTAATAAATATGAATTTACACAATTATAACAATCATCTTCGTTGTTCATTCCCTTCTTATTGATCATGTTATCTTCAATGAAATACTTCATGAAATGATTGAAGTATTCTAATTTTATATTGGACATTATTGATTTAGTTGGTAATAAATTTAATGAATTAATTGATATAGTACGTTTAATTGTTTCCATTAGATTTATGATATTGTCAGTTTGAGAAATATAAAGATTTAATTTGTTTTCATTAAATGATAATAGACCAGTTGAATATAATTGAATTGATTGTAAATATTCTATTGAATTTATCCATTGTATACGTTGATGTTTTATTCGACATAAATATAAATTGGTTAATTTAATTAAGTTGGAAATTTCTTTATTTATTGAAAATGTTGATTCTTTAATTGATTTAGTAGAAAATTCTTTTATATTAGATAATAAAGTATGTTGACAAGCAGATTTAGCTAGTTTAATTAAAGATAAACTAGGTGGTATGTGATTAAAATCAGGATTGATAAGGTTGAAGGTGGTATTCTCAACAATATTACTATATGAATTTGAACTACATAAACAATGATTATCAATTAACAACTCTTTAATATTTGTCTCATATATATCTTTGGATTGTTTTAATTGATGAATAATACTCCTGAAAAATGTTTGAAAATTTCCGTACTGATTGATACGAATTTGAAGATTCGAATAAATCTGTTCCAGTTTTTCTACTACAGTAAGACGAATTGTAGTAAATTCCTTTAGTAATGACTTTGTGGATAACTGAAAAAAAGAATTGGTCGTGCTATAGAATACAAGACATAATTATTTTAGTGAATTTGTTCCACTACTAATAAGTAGTTGAGATTCGTACAGTAAATTATTGTGGGAAATGAATAACCGTCGAAGACCAGGTAATTTACCACATTGGTATGTGATATAATATGAAGACAACTGTACTTCCTTATGCTATGAGTTTTTATGAGGCTAATTTTTGCTTTTCTGTTGCACTGATGATATTTTGAAGAAAAGTATGAGTGTTATACTTGTAATCAATGTATACGTTTGTTGTTTTCCCTATCAACTCAAGGACGAGTTTACTGAACAAGAGTTCGCTCTATTATACTTCATGGTTGTGAAATATAAAGTTTAAAAATATATGATATTTTCAAGTCACTAATATTCGATCATAGGTGACTTTGAACCATTCATTGTGTTTAAGAACAATCTAGTCAGTAATTTTGAGGTTAGGTGCAGAGTACTAGGTAAGCGTGGCGAATAAATTGACGAACAAATGAATTTTTATAGATTGAGACGGTTAGAACAGGCAGTATGCATGCCTACTCACCGACTACCTTTATGAGCTAAAATAAATCAAATAATACGTTGGAAGAACGATAGGGACGGCCAAACCAAAACATGGCATCAGTTCATGAAGACACTAACTATTGGGTTGAGTCATTTAAGTAGGTGTACACAACTTGGTTGGAAACCTCATGATTATCTTAATCAATCTTAGGAAACCTTGAATGACATGATTCAAAATTGTTCGTAATGGCTCAGGTGTATTCATTCACTCTTTGTCTTTCCTTAAATTTGAAGTTTCTAAATTCCTCATGAATTTTCTATTCCACTAATACGTAATTTATTCTCGAATTTTATCTTCTATGTATAATGTTTTCCAATATCATTAATACTATTACAACCACTACTACTATGGTGAACAGAACACTGGTTGGGGACAATCGAATGTATTTAAGCAAACATTACAGACTATCTCGGTAAATTCTGATAACCAAACAATGAACAGTCAATTTGCAAATTAACAACCAATTGTTTCAATTTTCACTGTTTCTTCTCTAATTCCATTGCTCATGCATTTTTCAAACGATTGCGCTTCATTTCAGTTCTTTCCTCATCGGTCTTCTGCGAAAATACATTCTATGTCTGACCCACACCATATACTACTTATATAGATATAAGTAGACAACACCACATTACTCTGAGGATTCACCTTAACAATTTTATCTCGCTGTACTAATTAGGTAAGGTAAGCTAGACCGATGTACATTCCGTTTGATTAACAGTTATTTAAACAGTTTCAAAATAATGAACACTGAAATCTTTTTCAGCAATAAATACTTCATAGTTGAAAGCGTTAGTCAATTAAAGCTAGACCTCCATCGAAAACCTGGAAGCACTGGACGGCCGTTTCGTCCCATTATGGGACTCCTCAGCAGTGCGCACTCACTATCCCACACTCGCGGGGCTCGAACCCAGGATCTACCGGTCTTGAACCAGAGCCATTAACCGATAGACCACTGAGCCGGACGAAACGGCCTTCCAGTGCTTCCAGGTTTTCGATGGTGGTCTAGGTTCAATTGACTCATGCTTTCAACTATGAAAATACTAAATCCCCACAAAACCCCTTCTGATAATGAATAAATGCTTTATTAAATTCATCTAATAATTACCTGTATATATTCACAAATGAAACATTTCACATTACATTGACATAAATTCAATATTATTTGACCATAATTTATAAATTGTTGAAAAATTGACTGATCAGTTTGAATAGTAACATTATTATTATTATTATTATTATTATTATTATCATATATCCAATATTTTTTTAATAATTCAATTTCATTTAGAAAATTTAACATAAAAGATGTGATCCGCAGATGATGATCATGATCATGAACAGACAATTTAGAATTATAAGAATTTATGATCAAATTAAGTTTTTCATTGATTTGTTGTAAAAAATTGACATATCCATATAAATAAATTAATTGATTTAAAATTTGATAAAATTTTATTAAATTTTTAATAATTATTGATTTTAAACAAATTAATAATTGATTATTATTATTAATATAATAATAATAATCTATAATATGATTATTATATAATTGATTATTGATAAAATCTAAATTTTTAAAAATTTTATTCAATACTTCATTTGTTTTCATTGGATGAATAAAAATTTTATGAAAATCAATAATTTTATTTAATGAATGAATTTGTGTTAATTTTGAAATGGATAGAAATTGTTTAGTTCTATTCTTCAATGATATTAAACGTAGATTAAAACTTTTTCTTAGAAATTCATCAGTCTGATAAAGAGAGAGGGAAAAAAGAATTGATGATTATTTTGATTGTTTATTTTTTGGATGAATCAATGACAAGTTTTATTCATGATAAACATTTCTGAGAATTTACGAAGTAAACTTATATGTCTTGCTGATTGAACGCTTTACTCGGATCGTAAGCTAGTCTTGTAACCCCAAAACTAGAACTACACAGAGACTTGAACACGAGAGAAAAAGCATATTGGTTCATAAATAGCCCTACATAATTCTCTTCGGGGTGTAACATAAACAGTTTTCTAACAAGAAATATAACTTTCAATTTGTTCATACATGAATAATTTCGAAAAGAAAACTTTATCAATAAAATTTCTGGTGAATAACAATGACGATTAAAAAATTACTACAATGTTAGAAGAGAGAAAAATAACTTATTCATCAGGTATAGATTTATGTTCTTGGCCTTAAGACATACTTAAAACGTGAGATGTAGTGATACAACCTAGCTATGCAAGTCAAAGTAGATGCTAAAGGAGGGGAGGTCCGAACCCTATGTGTCTATTGGTTGTTCGAAATGATGGTTTACTTTCAGCCAAAAACTATAAATACATACATACATACATACATACATACAATTTTGTACTATATTTGACACTGTTTGGAATAACATTCCGTCTATTTGTCCTTTGTCTCCTGATTTTGCAACTTGGGAAGGTTCTAGCGTTCAAGTGCTCAAGTATTGCTCGACATACTAAGAATTTAAACTCTAGACATAACATTTTCTAATTTCCAATGGTACTTCATCTGACACCAATCTATAATGAATACAACCTACAAATTCGAATTTCATTTATTACTTACCTTTTTTATATTCAATAATTCAGTAAAAATATATTTTGAGAAAAAATTCTTTTCTCCATTTGTATACATCATCATCATATCAGGATCTTTTAAATTGAACACTTCAATTTCAATAAATAATTGATCAGAACATAATTTTAATTGTTGATATTTATAAACATTCATTAATAAATCTATTTGAATAGTTTTCAATATTTCAATATATTTTTTACATTGATTAATTTGTTCTAAATAAGTAATTACCTTATTATTATTATTATTATTGTTACTAGTAGTAGTAATAATGGTAGCATCTTTATCATTTATCCATAATTGTTGTTGTTGGTGTTGTTGTACTAAATTATATAATTCTAATAGAATAGGTAAACGAATTTCTAATTGACGATATACATTCTGAGTTATAACATAAAGTATGATATCAGTAGTATTATTAGATTGAATAAATTTTAAATCATAATTATAAAATCTTTTAATTAATAAATGAAATGAATTTTGAAAAGAATGAAAAACATCAAAAATAATTGAAGAATTTTTTATTTTATTCGATAATTGTAAAATATTTTTTATTATTAGTTGTTGATAATCATATAAAATTTGTTTATATGTTAAAAGATTATTATAATAAATTTTAATAATCCATTGACTTAAATTAATAAGACGGGAATAATATAAATTATTTTGATGATAAAATGATTTTTTATTTTTATTTAATTGTTCAATGTACAATTTTAAATTGTTTAATTGAATTATTTTTTCATTTACATAAAAATCATTAATGATTAAATCAATTTTATTGAATTTTTTTATTATTTGATATAAATTATTATTGAAATATTGATTTGATTGAATTTCAAATTGTTTTATATGATCATTAAATTCATTATTTTTTAATAGAATCCATGATATTAAATCATTTAAATCATTTTCTATTAATTGAATATAGAAAATTTGGCGATTAAATTCAATCAGTAAATTATAAATCCATTCAATGATTAAATCCCAAAATAGTTTAAATTCTTTATTCCAATATAGATTATTATTATTATCATTGAAAGATTCAAAAGACCATGATGTTGTATGAACATTTATAGTGTTTAAATGAAGTAATTCATTAGTTAATGAATGACCTTCAGATAAAATAGCTCCACATATAGGTATTAAATTTTTAAAAGATTTAAATATATTTTCTATCCAACTTTTATAATATAATAATCCATCTAAAGAATTAGAAGAAATTAAAATATTGTATGATACTTGAATTGGTGATATAAGTTTTATATCATTAATAAACTGATTCTTGTTATCAGTTTCCAATAGTAGGTAATCCAATTTGAATTGAGGTGGATTTGGCATTGGTGTTTCTGGTAATCGATCCCATAAGTTTTGTATATGTTCTTTATTGAGTAATATATTGGAATTTAGAGAAAACAAAATAAACAATTAACTAATTAAAAAGAGTTATAAAATAGCATAAAAGTTTTTTTAATAACTTTGACTGATATGTGGAGACTATTTATTTAAGATCGAAATAGAAACTGCGACCAATCGTTAGAGATGTATGAAATGACTAAGAATTGGTTGCAATGACACAGATAAGTTTATTTTATTATCTTAATTTAGATCTTGTATCCCAGTATTCCTTCACTTTTTATTGAGTTTTCTAAAGTTATATTCACCAAAGTTTAGTCTTTTTAATTATTACTGATACTATTATTATTTCAACTCTTCTGTTATCTTATATTGTTAATTTCATCTCGGTGCGTTGGTTTACTGTGGTAACTTAGTTTAAGTCATATTTACGCTATGCTCTAGGTTGATTATAACTGACTGATCTCAGTTAAATCTACAATTGAATTGAATATCTTAAATTTTCCAAGTAAAACACACAACTTTAGGAATTAATTTTATCTTCAATTTTTAATTTAAAGTAGTCTGTCACATAAATCAACTCTCATGTTCAGTATCACTACATAGTAAACAGCGTTTTTAATCCAATTGGTACTATGAAACCAACTAACTGAAGAGCATTGGAATTGAGAATGATAATAAGAGAATTTCATTGTCATTAAGTAATTATAAACAAATCAGTGAGTTTATCTAGAACAGACGAACGGTGTAGAGCGTTGAAATATCTACGAATGAATTTTTGATTATCAGCTAATTTCATTCACAGTTTAAAAATAATCTAAATAATAACATATACTGTAGTGAACAGAACACGAGTGGGGACAATCTAATGTATTTCACACGAAGATTACAGACTATGTCACTAAAATCTGGCAACCATGCAGTAAGTAGTTAATTTGCAAACAATTAATCAATTGTCTCAATCTTGACCATTCCTTCTGCAAATATCAGTCCATAGTCTCCGATTATTATTTTTCACGCTTTTTCATACCAATTCCGTCCTGTTCCAGTTCTCTCCTTATTGATCTCCTAGTGAAATACATTCAATGCTGACCATCGTAATATACTACTTGTGTGGATATAAGTAACCCACACCACAATACAATTAAAATAGTAAGAGGTATTACAGATCAGCTCACTTCTACATCCAGTAACTACCGATAATGTTGTATTGAACGACAATGAAAGATGCCAAATCAAACCATCCAGCTTAACACAACACAACAAAATTATTAGTATAATACTATCACATAAAGTCTTGTTATGAAATCTAGAAAGCTAAATCTGTTAGGATTCATTCAGGTAAACCTACTTCTATTCAATTTAAGAATTAAACACATAAAGTGTTCATTTCATACTTTGTTTTTAGTAAAATGATGAATAACGATGTATCAAAACACAGATACAGACAGAAATCATTAAGCTAGGAAAACAACAGGATGAGTTTTCACTCTGTAAACAATACGATAATACAAACATGCTACCGTCTATCATAAATAATAAGTTTAGTATTGTGATTTTTTAAAGATGACTGTGGGTTAAATCCTTGTTATAGTAAAATTGAAAGCTAACAAGAAAATGTCAAGTAAATTGATTTCAGATGCGAAAAATAAATAAAAATTGTTTTAGAATTCCACTGTTAGTCAGTTTCAAACATTTCCAGAAGGTGTAAAGGAATACTTCGTATAAAGAAAACAAATACTCCATTATTACTGGTCCAATATATAAGTTTAGTTGATAGTGTTTAAACCACTGTTCTATTTCATTTTCTGACTAGGCACACTAGGCAAATTTAAGTAAAGGGTTTAATTAATTCAAAAATATGAGTGAAGTGAAAATTTAAATTTTCATAGTTTACCATCAAGAATTGATCTTGATTAAACTACCATTGAAAACCAAGAAGTTATGAAAGTATGTCTTGCTTTCGCAGTACCCATCCACGATCCTACCACAACGGATCTCATCCATAACCTTCCGTTTCACACACAAACACCCAACCTTAAGACCAATGAACCCAAATTTGATAGTGAACATGTTATACCCTAACGAAAAATAAATGAATGGTAACTTCTAGTAGTTAATCATGGACTATTATTAAGTATATTCTTATTGTATAACTGTTACGTAACCAGACTGTATATTTTTCATAGTTTTAAAGCATGAGTCAATTGAAGCTAGACCACCATGGAAAACCTGGAAACACTGGACGGCCGTTTCGTCCTATTATGGGACTCCTCAGCAGTGCGCATCCACAAACCCGCTCGCGCGAGATTCGAACCCAGGACCTACCAGTTTCGAGCCGAAGCCCTTAACCGATAGACTGTATATATTTATATTTCTGTTATTATAAACTTTTATTTGACCTATTGGCTACTATTATACGATTTACTATTCTTAAGTTATTGACAATCTATTAGTTACAGTCTCTTACAACCACTTCTGGCTTGATCTTATATATGATGTGGTCTGATTTACTTGTATATAAACTGTGTATGTCTGAAATACGATTCATATAGTGGAAGCTGAGATTGTGTTCTGGAATCAAACGGGTAGGGCTAGGTGAGAAGGACTAATAAAGACTCCGAGTTGACTCCAGGCTGTCCATACTAGTTAACGCGTCATTGGTTTGGCACAAAGCCAAGGTCTTATAAGTCGGTGTTCTGATCGGCGATCTTGTCACGTGATAATTAACAGTGGAAGAGTTGGACATTCTCATCTTGACGAAAAACTGGTGGAGCTCTTGCTATGTTCAAAGACGAAATGATCATTAAATGGAAATCTAAACATCCATTTAATTGCTAAGTCCTAAAATTGCTTTAATCCAAATTGTATTTTCATTATACGATTTGAAAAATGATAAACAATGGAGTTCTACCTCAGCGGGTTACAGTATTTCATTGTTAACCACGAAGTTGTACGACCAAACTACAGCATTTTGAGCGGCCGGGTAGTTATTAGATATTACAGGGAAATTTTGATAAGGTTACCTGGTAGTATTAATTAGCATGGCATGAATGTATCAGTACTATGAAATACAACACTAATAAAAAGAGAACCCGTTCGATATTTTTAGTCAAACAAAACTTATACATATCATTAAAAATTATCAAATTTGAAGTAGATTTACATTAAAAGAGAAAAAAGTAATAACATTCATGTTGAACAACGTACCATTGAACCAATCCACTTGAATGCTTAATCGTTTCCATCGATCTAGCAAACTGTGACAGTTTGCAGTCCATATCATTAATTTTTGATTTAAATCCAAACCTCGGTTGATAAGATCTGTAATTTGTTGTTGTTGTTGAATATGTGATTTACATTCTTCATACTGTAGTGGTTGGTTATCCTCTGTCGTGTTGTTGGATTCGTTCAGGAGATGTAATCGATAACAATAAGAATAAATCTGAGAAAATAACGCCTGTGAAAGTTTAGAAAAGAAGATGAGTTGTAAGATGAACACAAAAGTAGAGAATGATGATGGTGATAATAATAATAGATACTGAAAATTATAACAGAATTCATACCAACTTACACACACAGTCAAGTTGATGCGAAAAGAGAAAAAACGTTAAAAAAGAAAACAAGAGTATATTATTCGGACAGATGTTATACAACAAAACTTCTCTTAAGTGAACAAAATTGTGAAATAGTTGTTTAAATAGTATAATATGAAGCATACAATAGTTGACTAGACCAAAATATTTTAAAGTATAGAAATATTAACGGAATATACACCAAAGCAATCATTAATTTGAGTGGAGTCACCGTCAGTAAGCGAAATAGTAATGTGTAGTGAACACAATCAGATTTACCAAGAAGGTGGAATAAATTTAAAGTCGTTCACCTGTTAGATGGATTCAATGAGTCACATTTAAATAACTTCACCTTGATAACTGTTTTTGAGGCTTAAGTTGTGAAAAGTTGTGTAATTTTATCATTTCTAAGCTGAAGCATCCTTGGTTGTTACTAGTCGAAATTTGTTTAAGAGTCAATTTCAGTAAAAATTTACATGAAAATATAATCATTCCTGTAAAATGTCTACAGAAAGTAAACTAAATTCCTAAACATTGAGTCTTGGACCTAGATCATCGTTGATTTCATTGTGTGACCTAATTTCAATGAAATAATCTTTTGTTTCTTCAGTGATGGATTGAACTTTGCAGTATTTTAGTACTAGCTCTGATTCGTTAAATATTTTCCTCAAATATTGAGTATTAAAGACTTTCGGTACTTGATTACATAGAGTATAGATTGTAATTATGCAATGAATTGACCAAACATGTTCTTGGAACTATTATTATCATTATTATGTTTCGTATTTGAAAATATATCTCTTCTTAAACATGTCTCACATCAGGATTTTATTCATGATTGTCATATCACTTCATTTCATATAACCCCTCTATTACCTTTGATTATCGTAAGAAAAACATTTTAACAGTATAGGGTTGTAAATATTGTTAAGGTTTTGATCAGGATCATGAACCGATCAATGTTAGACCAACATTGGAAACCTGGAACTATTGGACAGCCTTTTCCTCCTAGTATCGAGCTATTCAGAAGTGAGCATCCACGATTCCGCACACGGCATTCAAACCCAGGACCTTCTGTCTTTTGCGCAAATGCTTAACCTCTAAACTACTGAGCCAATATCCAACGGTGTTAATATTAAACTTCAATCAATCCATGATCATGAACAACACTTCACATTGAATTAAATCTAATTCAACTTACCGAATTCTTATTATATCTATTTTCTAATTCCTTCATTGTTAATACTGGTGTATTAATTAACAATTCAATGGTGATGAATAGATATTTGAAAATTTGTAAAGTTTTTAATAAATTCTTAGTGACTGATGTTTTCATACAGCTACATGGATTCATGATGTTTAGATTATTCAATTTATTATTAGACATTATGACATCATCATTATCATTATCCTCATCATCATGAATGGGATAATTTAATTTAACATTAGTTTGTATTGTTTTATTGATATTTAATAGAAAATTATATGATTGATTAAAACAATCAAAGAATAAATTTAATAAATTCAATAAATTTATTGAATATTGATTAGAATTATATTTATTTAATAAATAAATAGTAGTAAATTGTATTGAAAATTCATTAAATTGTTGATTGTTTAATTGATATAAATTAGATGGATTCATTTGATTTAAAATAGGTTGTAAGTTATGAAATTCATTCAATAGAATCATCTATTTAAAATAAAATAATGAAAGAAAAATTAAATTAAATTTGAAAAAAAATAATTATTTAATGTGAAGGGGTTTTGTGGAGATTTCAGTATCCAACGGTGTTAATGTCTATCGCTTAAGTGCTCTGGAGCGAGACTGGCAGGTTAGGGGTTCGAATCTCGCGAGGCAGGATCGTGGATGCGCACTGACGAGGAGTCCTTTAATAGGACGAAACGGCCGTCCAGTAATTCCAAGTTTACCGTGCCGGTCTAGTTTTAATCGACTATGAAAAACTATTTAATGGATAATAATATTTAAGGCTTGTAGTTCCCTATTTTTTAAATGGTCTTAGAATTATTCTACTGATTGGTATTGTTGCGTCTCCGCATGTCGGGATCATCAATTATGTAGTGCCGTGCTTCGCCAATCGTTCACCCTTATAACCGTTATAATACAAATCTTAATGGTGTATAAAATCAGAAGGCAAAGAGAAGAGGCAGCTACAGTTTTATTGACAAATGAGGTAGGCCAGAAAGTTATAAGCACATGAGTATATATCAGCGAGCGAGAGAAAAGTGACACAGATACACAGATAAAAATAAATGACAGACATGTGATAAATAGGATAACAAGTGTACACTCACATACGCTCATATAAAAAATAGTCAGGGTTAATAAGTGAATAATTAACAAAGTGAAAACATGACTCAAGTTGGGTAGGTGAATTGGCTTGTCCAGAAGCTAGAATAAACTATATGAGCTTAACATATCAACCGACACTACAGTATGATGAACGATCAGATTTTGAACTGGATAAGATGAATAAACAACAACTATCTTACTGATCATCTATAGTTTATTTATAGACTGAATATGATCGAACTCAGATAACATTAATTCAAATAGAATTATTTCAGTAATAATAATTATACATTATTCTTTGTGTGTATCTATCATTTTAGTGTTAAATTCATTTGATATTGTTTGTTTGTATCTTCTCATTGTTGTTAAAGACTACAATTGACCAGTCTCTTGTTGGTATATGTGCATCCTGTGCGGAGTGCCTTAATATTGCCTTAAGTTACAACCCAGAAGCTTCAGTTCATAGAGCAAACGCTTAATCTCTAGACCACTAATCTGGCATTCAACGGCGTTAATGTTTAACTTCAATTGATCCATGATCTTGCACAACTTTTTGTAGATTTGCTTAACTTCTTTATATTATAAATAATATATGAAATTACAGTTAATCAGTAAAGATATTTAAATCATACAATAGTAGAAATCTTACCAGATTATTGTTATTCGAAGCATTCATGAAATGATTCCTAGAATTCTTTTTGAATGTATTCTTCATTCGACTAACACTATACACACTTAATATATCATAAATAAATAATAATGATTTGTAAGCAAAATAAAAAATAAGTATTAAAATACGTGAATACATCATTTCTATACATAATAAATCTGTTGTTTTAAATAGAGTACACCATAAATTTGGTAATGGAAATGGTTGATGTTCAGAAGAGGATAATTTGGACAAATATTTATTTAAATCTCTAATTGATAAATAAATTTCATTAGTTAATATGATTAATTGATCAAATAAATTAGAGGATGTATTTTCCAAATAAATAGTTACCATATTCTATAAATTAAGAAAAAAAAAGAGTAAAGGAGATGAGACAACTGAAGTGTTTTATGACAACAAAAGAAAAAAAACAATTTACATGACGAAATGAATTTAGTTAAATGACAACTGAAAATAGGGAAGTATTCGGCATTAATGGTACTATAAAATGATTGTACATTATCACGAATCAATTGGAGTTATAAGTGTAAACCATTTTATTTAAATTCAGTAATCTCAAGGTTGAGCATTTACTAAGAGACATGAAGGTCGTGTTTTCACCCACCTCCCTTTATGGTGAGGTTATGGATGTGCACTGTTAAGTCCAATACTAGGATAAAACAGCTGTCCAGTGTTTTCTAGTTTTCAATGGTTATATAGATAGAATCAATTCGCGATGTCAACTAGAAAATCTAAATATTTCCATAAAACCCTTAAACTAGAAGCGAATGCAAGATTGATTATAATAATCAATTAGGTGGACTGAAGAGATTAATTCATAAGTAAGTAAAGCTTTCAGCATGAATCAACTGGGTCACATCATTGAAAACAAAAGGGCACTTCACAAGCCTTTTAATCTGTTAATGGGCTCCTCAAAAATATGCATCCACGACCCCGCCAGATATCGAACGTGGGACTTTCAGATCTCTTTCTCTTGGTGGGCATTGGCTAACATCCAACAGTTTACATTATTTGATTATAATTGATTCTCAATATAGTGTTGTCGCAATTGAATGATATCGGTGGTAGTAAATTGCTCAAACTTCCGGGCTATCTATCATTCTGCAGTTATATGACAAATTTTCCCGTTTTACCTTTCTTTTAACTTCCTAATTATAGATGTCAATCACATGTCTTCAAAGAGCTTGAAACCTATCGTTGGGCTACTTACTGAAAAGTTCGAAAGGAACCACCATTAAAGTGTTTGTTACTTTTTCCCACTAGTCTGTTGTTCAAACAAGCAAATGACGTTTATTAGATAGCGGGTTTTGTGGAGATTGTAGTAATCTAATAATTGAATTTATGAGTCCATCAAAGCTAGACCACCATGGGAAACCTGGAAACACTGGACTGCCGAAGAGTCTCACACTAGGACGAAACGGCTGTCCATGTTTCCCATGGTAGTCTAGCATTAATCGACCCAATGAATGTATCTATCAAATAATATTTACATTATACTGTATGCAGAAATAAAATATCACTGGGATAAAACTAGTCAGAAACATTGTTAGATGCAGACGAATGGTGGATTAACACGTATTGTTTAAAAAAATATTCTTTTATATATATATATATATATATATATATATATATATATATTTCAATATTTAGTAGTTGAATTGATAATAATATAAAACTTATCATAGTACTGCAAATTTTGTGTTGTGAATTATTTGTTGCAATCATACATATGGTATTTAAATTTTTTTTATTTTAGTGCATTTCATGTGAGGTAGGCAAGATGCGCGTTTAGTCCTGTACCAAACTCGTCAAATGAATGCATCTTCAGCATAATATCGATACTCAGTGAGACTCAAACCCTATACCTTTTGTTCCAAACGTCTAATGGATTATCCACTAAACAACAACGTCCCGATAAGACTTCTAGTTGTTCAGCAGAGATTGATTTCAGTTGAAGTCTTGATGACTGTTGCTGTTCGTTTTATTACTATTACTAAATCAGATATGATTGAACCACATCAATTGAGAATTCTTATTAGAAAATCGACAATCCATTTAGCAAAAGATTACTGTTGAGTTGGATGGACAACAAAGATTAGTTCACTGTAAAGGGGAATACTGAACGGAGCTTCAGTGTTTTATAGTTTTCCTGTCAGGTGATACCCATCAGTGATGAGATTCTTCATACAGAAAGAATAAAAATTATCATCATGGGGATAGGATAATAGTGTACTTGCAATATTCCCTTAACAGTTTCAAATGGTGAAATGTCAATACACATACATTTGAACTGTAGTTCTTTAATTGTATAGTCCGGAAATATTTTTCAACTGTCAGTATCTTTCAACCATTTGAAATTGAAAAACATTTTCAACCATTTCAGTAGCTAAAACAATGTTCATCAGTCATATAATGGATTCACTAATCCCCATGCAGTTGTTCCTTTTTTTTCAAATAAGTGGATGATGGAAAAAACCACACCCAAAAACTGCAATGTTTCCATTCCATGCTTTAAAATATTCCGCACCATGCACGTGAGTATACACAGTTAGCATTCATAGCTATTTAGTTAAGATAAACTCAAAACAGGCTAGCCTACAGATGGGAAACTAGTTTGCTAAAGCATTTAAGCAAACTTTTGGGAGCTCTTGAGAATGCCTAATAATCTAGAAAAAGGTTGAAAATACCTCTTTCAGTTAGCATTCAATGGAAACATTTTATAAATCTATCAAATGTGAGAGATTTCTGGGAAACCAGTAAGAGTTTAGAAAGTCAGCATTGGGTGTTCAAGTACCAGGCACAAAAGCATAGACTGCTATCAAGAAATTATCATTAATTGAATATAAAATTCAACAGACTTACATTATCCACCAATTTCATGAAATCATCATCTAAACTGAACTGTTTACTATTCATTTTCATATTTACAATAATTTCGTTAAAATATTTCCATATATTGGTTAGATTATGTTCTATCAATGTTAGTTCATTTTGTTCAATAGTAGTTAAATCATTTTTATCAGATTCAGTATTGAAGTATTTTAGCATACGATTTAAATAGATTATCAATGGAGAATGAAGTGGATTCAAGATAGATAGCTGGGTTTCATCATTATTATTATTATTATCATCTAAGATATTTTGATAGATATTCAACTCACTGTCTGAATTGGTTTTGTTAAAATTGATAAGACTCGATTGAAATCTCTTGGTGGCCTGTAGTAAATTCTAAAATTGTTCAAGGTTGTTATTTGAAGGAGACAAATGGAGAGGAGAGGTTGATAAATTAGATTAATGCGGAAATTAATTCACACTACGAATGTACTACTAATAATAATATTCATAATAATAACAAGGTAGCATACCAGTCACTGAGATTTCAGAATATAATAAAAAAAAAATAAAACACTAGAATGAAGACTTTAAACAAATCAGTGTTATTATTCTTACCACCATAATTTTGAAATCGAACATCTTGTTGAAAATAGAACGATACATACAAGTAGGGAAAATTTTCACAAAATGTAACTTTGTGATCGCAATTTCCATTTAGAAGAAAAAAAACAACGTAATCTAGTTACCGAGTACAGGATTTATTTAGTCTGTTTTACTTTATATATTTTTGGCTGATTATTATTTGAACCAAAGTAAGTGAAGGTTGAGGTTTGATGTCGTAACTCAGACGTTGTGATGCTGTGATCTTCCATTTAGATAAAAATGACAAAGTGGCGTCATTGAAATATAGGCATAAAAACTAACATCCGTGGGCAGTTTAAAAAACATTTTTAAATACAATTTAGTTCACTAGTAGTAATACCTTCGCATAGAAACTGGATAGTTCAATGTTGCACTTTAAATTAAACCTATAGTGTACACTTATAATTAGCCTTAAACTACAATGATAGAGCACTAGTCATTCGATATTCTCTACCAAATGAAAGTTTTACAAATGATTTATTCACCTTGAAGAATGTTACATCACCAAAAGTCTCACCCATTTGATTTACAAACCTTTTCAAAACTGTTTAATACCAACAGTGAAAAAATTCATTTTAAAATAAAAGGTATTTTATAATATTACCGTTGCACATTATTTAAGCGTTATCGTGTAACGATTCGTATGACCACTGTCAAAATCCCATTTACTTCATCAATGATTTATGTAAATAATTTACTTTGGTAGTTATTCGAAAAATAAATACATTTAATTCTAATTAATTAACCTTTAAAAAGCTGAGTTATAAGGTCCTTTCCTTACAAAATAACTCAATAAAGATTTTGGACTAAATATACTACAAAGACAACATTGTTGTATATTACAATGACAGTATTTAGGTGTATGTAGACGTCATTCACATCAAAAATGCAATAATTTTTGTCGTAAAACTGAATATTAAAATTTGGACTAGGGCCATGACGATAAACAGTCAAGTGATATCACTCTATAACTAACATTCTTTACAGAGGTAAAATATAAAGAAGATTGGAAGTGAATGATCTGAACAACCAGGATTAGCATGTAATTTCTTGGTTGTATTATAATTTACTACATTCTGATAATTGGTTAGAGAAACTGTGAATAGTAAAAAAATCAGTGCTCACATTATACAACTTTGAAAGCAATGTATGCAGTGAACAGCCATTCAACATAAAACTGGCACATTTTTCTGTACTACATGAGGATAAAGATGAAGCAACAATGTCACTGGATATGTGTGAATCTGATGGGACAGAAGCGTACAAACTTTCCTCATGAGAAGTTTCCTTCACTGAACCAAAATAGTGATCTTCGGAGTGGAGCTGTGTAGTACATCTATCCTCCAACTTGTTTTCAGTTTGAATAATTGTATTGTTTTTACTACAAATCCTGTGGAAAGATAGCAAAGTAAACCAATAAATTGCTTTGAAATTAAAATAATCCTATTAAGTACCAAAAGTTCAAATTCAAATGCATTTTATTCATTCAAATTTAACAGAGCATTATCTAATTGAATATGTGGGTTATGGAGATTGCTGAAATTTATCACAGCCACGAACCAATCTATATTAAATAACCACTGGAAACTTGAAAGCACTCGATACCCATTTGGTCCTTATGTGGGACTCTTTAGCAGTACACATCCACGACCAAATCTAGGACCTTCGGTTTTGCGAGTGAACGCTAACCATTACTGATTGATATTAGAGCACAACTTTTTTTTTGATAAAATCACTTACAAATAAAAAACGTCTTCCGCCAACAATTTACCAGTTATCCAATAGTCAACTTAACCTTCAAGTTCTCATATATCCACTAATAAAAAATTTGACTCATTTTAACTACCTTTTTGTTTATTCAAAAAATTGTATCCTTGAATGAATGTAGGAAACAAGAATACCAATTTGGAGGTCTTTACAATAAAATAATGTATTAATTCAATTTGCTTCAGTTCCTAACCATGAAATTAGCGAGACAGATATTACGAAATGTATATAGTCGGAAAAGCCAGTGTACGATCTATTTTTATTGTCTTAAACGATCTTCATTCAGGATATCTTCTTCACTTCCGTCTACATACTAGAAAAACAATGAATAACTGATTAGACTTACTATCAACACTGTTATAGTTATCTTTTGATTTTTCAAACCAAGTTGTATTGTAGAGAGAGTCGCATATGTCGGAGACGGTGGTTTAGAAGACATGAAACATATCATTTGCCTTCACTGTGGAAGGTTTACTATTTCATCGAGCTACTAATTCTATTTAGGATTTTGTATCTAAAATCAACATCATTTAAACCGACAGTTCGACTAAACTCGATCATTGGACAATTATCTTTAATTTATGCATATTTTTCAAAATATGTAGAACAAGAGTAGATTTTTGCCTAGTATACTCATTATATGATAAACAGTCTCATATCAAAATAAAGCTTATTATGGTTTCATGTCTCTTACCGCCGTAACTACACTAATCACCAAATCAAAAGTATTTGATACCTATGAGGTTACCATACGACAACCAATTTATATACAAGACCTAATCTGTTTTTATTCCAGCCTTTGACAGAATAACTTATAAAAGATATTTTTAGCTGAAATGTCAAATGATAAAGATCTGAGTTTTCGATGTAACTCATCGACTATTACTGTTAATGCATGCCATACTAATAAATTTTTAATGTCTTACTCATATTCCTGGATAAAACTTGAAAATTTCTCTATCAATCTTTCTTTCTTAGTTGTCCAATCTTTTAAAACATGATTATTATCATGTGTAAGATTGAAATCCTCGTCAAAACAGATTGATGTAGGCTACAAAAATGAAAATTGAATAAATCAACATATCAGATGAGAGTATTAATGAAGAATCGTTTAGTTAATAACTTGAAAAAGTTAAAACATATTCAACATGATGAAAAATTTAAAGAAGCCAGTCATGGTGTAACTAAAATAAACTTCATGTTTATCATTAAATGATAAGTCTCATACACTAAATGTTTCAAACAGTTAATCTCATAGCCAATTATAGCTAAATTTTTGGAATTTTCGACATTTCAAAGTTGAACGGAAGTTATCAAGAATAAGTTTATTTTCTAGGGTAGATTAATCACAGAAAATAAAGGGGGTTATCAGTGACTATGGACTTTTAGAAACTTCTGGGACAAATGTTAACATTCGTAAAGATCTTCGATACTTGACAAATTAGTAAAATAACGATAAAGTATGTTAGGTTGGCTTCTAGAATTCATAAGAATTTCTCTAGATCGTTGGTTACCCCAAAGTGATTATCAATATATTTTGTTTTCTAAGAGATTTTTGAAATCAATCACATGAATATCTTCTTAATCTAATGACGTCGATATTATTCTACACAGTGAATATTCAGCGAGAAATTAATGTTGCATGAATGAAGCTTTTAAACTCAGTTTCTTAATTATTGGACATTTATTAACAGTACACACTTTTATACAAATGGAAGTAAAAATGTGGTGTGGGTTGCTTATATCCATATAAGTAGTATATGACGATGGTCAGGCAGAGAATGTATTTCACTAGAAGATCGATAAGGAAAGAATGGAAACGAAATGCTATTAGCATGAAAATGCATGAACAATAATAATCGGAGTCTATGAACTGATATTTGCAGAAGGAATGGTAAAGATTGAGACAATTGATTGATGGTATGCAAATTAACTGTTTACTGGGTAAGCAGAGATGGATAGTGGCTAGCAGTGGAATCCAGTATGACGCGCGTTTCGTCCTATTCGAGACTCGTCAGCTGGATATACCTGCATCTCAGAGTTGATGTTCACTGTGGGACTCAAACCCAGTACTCTCGCTTCAAACGCCATCGCGTTATCCACTCGGCCACTGATTCCTGATAGCCACGCACAGTATGCACATATGTCGATTAGAGACTGACCAGTTGCAGTCCTAACACATCGATGGGAAGATTCAAACAAAACAATACTAAATGTTTACTGGGTAGTTGTCAGATTTTAGTGAGATAGTCAAGAAAGTTGATATCACTAAATCCTCAGATAAAATAAATTCGGTGAAATAAAATATAAACGGAAAGCAATCCATTTTAACACATGAAATATATATTCATAAATATTATTTGTATGAAAAGATGGATAAGCGTTAACAGTGGAATTCGAGATGCGCGTTTCACCCTATTTGGGACTGGTTAGCTGGATGCACCTGCATCCCAGAGTTGATATTCACCTCTGATCTGGAAAACAGTATAGACCAAACATACAAACAAATACTTACGGATGTCATGATTTTATCAAGTGAATTATTCTTTGAATCGATAACTCCCGGTAATGTTTCTTTGATAATTTGCGTGCTTATTTCTTCGAAATTTGAATTATTTGCTTCATTTTGTGAATAACATAAAGTAGATGAAGTTGATTCAGAGCTTGATGATTGTATGGAATTCCTGGAATGCTTAAAATTAGGAATTATATCAGTAATTAGTGCATCATCGTTTCTAATCATTTTCTTATTCTTGAAGGAACTCGACGAACAATTCGGTAACAGACTATTCTTCCTTAAAAAATATGTTAAACTGATTGGATGATCTGTAACAATTTCAGTAGAATGGGAACTTGTTATTAATGATGATAATGAGTTGGATCTTTTACGAAATCTTATCTTTACAGGAGGACATTTTGAAGTTCTATTAGAACATAAACTTTGAGTACGGTAACGATTAATGGAAGGTGTATAATTCCAATGTTGTATAAAATCAAATGATAGTTGATTTAGTACAGTTAAACGACTATGTAGATTGGTTGAACGACTAGAAATAAAGATTTTGATAAATAAATGAACATTATAATTTCATATCCACACTTTTCAAAACAATGAAAAATAATGTTATATTTGTGATATCTTAATGATCGTGCATGCGGGACGTGTATGCACACTATGAGGAGTCCCATACTAGGATGAAATGACCGTCCGGTGCTTCCAGGTTTTCAATGGTGGTCTAGTTCAGATCGATTAGTGAATTCGAGTTTAAAAAAAATACCACAATCTCCACAAATCCCCATGCTGATAATATGTTAATTGGTAGAAATAAGAATTCCTGATGTTTCACAACTGAGTTTCAGTCACTTATTCAGAGACTAAATATCTGGTAAATATCTGGTACTAAATGGTATAAAAAGAATGAGACAGAATATTTATTTCAATTGAAACTTAGAAATAAATCTTGATTATGTCAATATGTCACTTTTGAATAAGGTGATTATTCTGTATGAGGATATCACTGTGCATATTTGTACAAATACTAGTGAATGTGTAAAGCGTGGAATTTGTAATGTGAACAAAAGTTGAAGTATGTGTATGTGCATTATTGATGTGAAAAATTTATAGAATCAAAATGCGGTTATTTGGATAGACCGTTCAAGTTGGATATATTGTCAAACTTTCAATTACTATTGAGGGTGGGGGAATAAAACCCCTAAACGAAACGCTTTTCTTTATAATTGGAAAAAAGCTTTCACAATTATTTCGACATTTTTAATGTTGATTTGATGATTGTTAAAAATAACATGTACTACTATTGTCGATTTGATTTATAGATTCTTTAGTTCTACAGGGTGGTTAGGATGTCTTTTTATGTAGCTCGGGTGTTTCTTGGCACGAGTTCAGATTTAGCGAGAAGACTACCTAATGTAGAAAAGAAAACAATCAACGAGACGTAATCTGTAGACACGATTCCACGTAGATGTGAAGAGAAGTCTTTTGATTTTTTCGAACTATAGCATTTCAAAGAGTTTTAATGGTTTATGGAAAGCTTGAATTCTTTGTTTTATAAAAGTGCGTTGTAATTCTTATCTCACTGTGACATTAAGGTAAAACTGCGGTACCAATCCACGATATTTCATTTTAATTTTCATTTAGAGATAAAGCGTTTCGTTTTAATACGTTCTTATTAATCTTCTCAGGAAAATTAATAATTATCAAAATACTACTGAAAGTAGATTATAATTTTGGATATTTTTGTTTTGTATTCTATTTTTGTGGATTTCAAAACAATGTAGAGAGCTTCCACTCTTTTTGAGACAAGATTTTCGAAATATTGTATTTTATGGTAAGTACCTTCACCAGTGAACACGTGTTTAAAACTGTTGGCTAGAATCAAGACAATTTTCTGCATAACTCAAATGTGAGTATCCTACATTTGGGATCTACTCTATCAACTGCGTATCCTATGACATTAAATTAGAATGTGATTTATTTGTTGAGTACAAGTTAATGTGTTCAGCTTTAAGGCAGATTGTTTGTGTGTGTGTGTTAGTGATACTACCCACTTATCCAAACTGACGTGCAAGAAGAAGTGAGAGAGGTTTCGAACACTTAATCTACTAGTAGAAAATTGAGTGATTAAACTATTAGATCATTGTATACATGTATAAATTTTTTTCGATAAATTTTTATACACAAACTACCAACTTTAGAAAAAGTGATAAGATTAGTTGGTCGTAACATAGAAGCTGAAAAGTGATATTTTTATCAAACAACTAAACTCCAAAGGTTTTGTTCGAGATACCTGGTAATGAGTTTTAAACTATAGAAACATATTTGGCCAAACATTTCAAACAACTTGAAAATAAATCTAGATTAATAAGTCATGTAATTTGACTAAACCGCAAGTCTAATCGAAAGTGCATGAATCAGTAAGTAGCACCACAAAGAAATTAGATATTATCAGAAAGGGGTTTTTCGGAGATTGTAGTAATATAATAGTTGAATTCATAAGTCTATTGAAGCTAGACCATCAGTGAAAACCTGGAGACACTGGACGGCTGTTCCGTCTTAGTATGGGACTCCTCATTAGTGCACATCCACGACCCCGCATGTGGGATTCGAAACTAGGACCTTCGGTCTCGCAAGTGAACACTTAACCTCTAGACCACTGAACCAGCATCCACCGGTGTCAATGTCCAACTTCAACCAACCCACGATATTGCACCATTGGAAGTTAATTACAGATGTATACATGATAATTATCAGTATAGTGACTTGTAGAGATTGCCGAGTATTATCGAGACCAACTTAAGTTAGTAAAGCATTGAAAACTAGGAAGCGCTAGTCGGCTGCTTCGTAGGTGTAGGGGCGATAAAACCACTACCAAAGGTGGCTACGCAATATCATGAATTGGTTTCGTTTAGTTAGATGCACCATTGGATGCTGTCTCAGTGGTCTAAAAGTTAAGAGTTCCCCGACAGATCTGAAAGTTATGAGATTGATCTCCTGCGAGAGAAAGGATCTGCACCGCCGGGGGAGTCTCATACTAAGAAAAAACAACTGTCCAGTGTTTTCTAGTTTCCAATGATTTACTTTAGTCCATGATCTCAAAAACAACTTATTGCCAAAAATGCACTGCAATCACTAACCTGACTATGATGTCCCTCACTTGCTTCAAATGCATCACAAGAGATTCATATAAAGGTTCCATATAAATTTTCATCTCTTTCGTATAATAAATATCCATCAAAGTGTATGTATCACCACTTTGTTTGATAGCTTGAAATTCACCTTCTACTTGATTTATCCAGTAGTGAAAAGCATCCAATATTCCAATATAATCCTAAAATAAAAATTTCAGATGGGAGAAAGTTGAGGGAGCAAAAACTATGAGAAATTTCAGTGAAAAAATAATGATGATTAGACAAATGGTTGTGAATGAAGTTATTTATTGGAAAATCTTATGTAACTGAAGAATTGTTTTCATCACAATTTGGCACGAGTTCAAAAACCACGTAAACATGATTAGACTGGCTTATTGTCAGACTGAGCAACGAAGTAGAATTAGCCTTCCAACCAATAGGTACAATTCTAGTGAATACAATTCTATGACTTAATACCAACAGAGGCTATAGTAGTTATAGCTATAGTGGCTATAGCATACAAGTAACTCGACATCATAAGCATCATATTTTGACGTTACATTGTAAGCGGTCAGTAGAAAGCTTGACTGTGACCACTGGAGTCCAATCCGTGTCAGGTGTGAGACAGTTATCCATCCCAAGTAATGAATGAAGTGTTGCGCCGTTAGATGTTGGCTCAGTAGTCTAGAGGTTAAGAGTTTGTGCACGAGACTGAAGGTCTTGGGTCCGAGTCCCGCGTGAGGTATCGTGGATGCACACTGATGGGGAGCGCCAAACTAGGATGAAACGGTCGTTCAGTATTTTTAGGTTCCCAATGGTGGTCTGGTTTAGATCAACTCATGATTTCCACTGTGAAAATACTACAATCTCTATAAATCCCCACAATGAGAAAGCTTGGAGCCTAGATTTTCTGGTTAGCTGGTATTCATCAACAAGGTGAACCTTTAGTCTAATGCTTTTCATATAAAATGAAGATCTCCATTGTCTAGCACTAATCAGTGTAAGTATCTTACTTTTCCTCTGCATGATATCAGTCATTCCTCTCCCTAAATAAATAAGTATTAACGTCGTTTGTTTCATACTACCTAACGTTAACAACTATTCAATGATTACTCTAATCCGATCATCAATTACATTATCAAGAATTTATTTAAAAATATTCCATCTTACTTACTTTTATTTGTTTTACTGAATAGAAATCGTTTGAGATCTTATCAATGACTGACTTATAGTAGTAATCATATTCCCTAAGTAAATATTCAACTCGATTCAATAGATATCCAATACAATTAATTTGTCGTTCACAATAAATCACATTTGATATTATCATCTGATAAATATCTAAAGAAAGGCAGGTAAAAAGACAGAAACGAAATTAAATACATGAAGAAACAAATTCATGAGAAACTTTTTGTCATTCTAGTCTGTGTTGAAGTAAAATATTTTGATATGTGTCACAGTGACAGGCAAACAATTCTAATGAAGGCTAGATTTCATAGTACTAGTAGTAGTGGGTGATCGTCATTAATCTTGATAGAACTGATTGTAGGAATTCAAAACCGTGTCACCATTCAGTGTTACAACTAATACTATCACTACTGAATTACTCAGATTGTGACTATCGTCGTTTCGAAGAACTGAGATATTCACACTGATATATTACGGAGTCTGTAACTATTGTTATATTTTCCACTGTCGTGATTTAAGTTCAGTCTAAGGACTAGACAAATTAGATATAAGTTACTATTTAGTGCTTAATCACTGTATTTAAATATTTGACGTACAAATCTTTTTAAAATACTGTTTTAGGGGGCAAATTCATAAATGCGTACAACCAAAGGGACAAACGATTAGAGTCGGCCACACATAGCCTTTTTGTGAGTGGTTTTGTATGTGTTAACTCTATATATTTCAGACCCTGCTACCAGCTGAGAGGATCTGTGTGGCAAATCGAGGTGTATTATTTTCAAGGCTGCTCTAGTTTATTCATCTCCCTCCACTGTGGAAAGGTAGCATCGTTTTACTTGAAGGTAATTTCAGTTAGAAAGCTTACTGCCAATACACCCCTGTACAGTCTACATTACAACTTTGCTCTCGGAACCAATGAAGAATCGATTGAAGTTGAGAATCTGAACCATTCAAGTTCGATCCAGTATTCTGAATCTGTCATATATAACAAAATATCTAACAGACCTTAGGTGTGTTTTTCTGAGTGACCTCAAACTAGAACGAGATATTGCTTTAATCTTTCTTGATTTTTAGTGATTTTCTGATTTGTGAAGAATACCATACTCATTCTATACGAATTTCTCGATGAAACACTGAAAGTTTTATATCTCTATATGTTATAGTAGTCTAAGTTTGATTGGTTCATGATCACAATTAAAACCAACAACCTTAACAACCCTATACTGTTAAACTTTGCTATTGGAGTGATTTTTTCCTTCCTCCCTAAAACATGTACATTAATTAATTAAAACCAAATATAACTTACTACATAGTTCATTATTAATCAATTGTTTTGACTCGTTTGTAAGTACGTGTTGTATGGTCATTGAAATTAAGAAGATTGAGTCGTATTCAATAGCTTTGATAAATGATTCGATTTTCTAAGAAAAAAAGAATTCCATTTTTACTTTAAATTGCACATATAAGTTTTTTATATTTTATGTATGAAGAAGTACCAAGACTCAAAATTTAAAGGAAGATAAAAAGTGAGTGGATCTGTGTAATTTACATTCAAAAACAACTCAGCATTTCTCATTTTGTTTAAACACAAACATTAGTACATGGAGACACCGAATATGTATGCACCACACTCTGTCATTAAATTTGTGTGAGGGCTGGAATACTGATCAAGTGCCCAAACCGAATTATATGGTTTTCTTAGTGGACCACATCCCAAGCCTTTGATCTTGAGATTTAATCCAGAAGTCAGTGGAGCAAAGTTATCAGATGCAGATCTATGGTGGTGGCGACGAACAATAAATTCATACTCCATTTGTTCGCTCAGTATCCTAAAGCCCATGTGAACTATCGGTTTGGAATCACGGCTTCTGAACTCCCCACCACCAACCCGGTTAAAGTGCTGGACATTCGCTTTCCATCCTCTCAATTTCACAGACTCTCCTGTCTCGAGAAGGCATTGAGTAGGACTTCCCTGGTAGTGGCTGTATACGCGTGGCCATGTGAGTGTTTCTAGAGTCAGGGCGGACTCTTCCTACCCTTGGCCGTACCAGTGAAATGATCAAATGAATAATACCTAGGTTAGGGGCAACGCAAAATACTGAAGATAGTAAATTAGTTACTAGTATTTGACCACAGATGCCTTAGAAATATTGCTCGCATCTGCTGAAATCCTCAGGTGAGTGATAGTGGGGTTAGGCGCAGGTTATTAGGGGGTGACGGTATATCAGTTGATGAATTTTCGTCTACGTGTTACGTATGCCTGAACACCAATTACCACGACGCGCTATGCTGACTGGTGTAGGGGATGGTTTGAAGAATGTTAGGGTAGGCCAAACCAAAACGTAGCATCAGTGTTTGAAGTCACTTACTTCTAGTCTGAGACATGTTGGTAGATGCAGACTAATTGGTTGGGGTCCGCGTGACCATCGTAACCAATGGTTGGAGACTCTGGGTGACATGGCTCAGAATCGATCACAATCGCGTAGGTGTATACACTTTTTATCTCCCCTTAAACCGTGAGGTTAAAATTGCTTCATATCTGTCTTTCTTTCTGTATTATATCCTTATACAAAATCTTTCTTTATTATATTACCACCATTAAACTAACTACTTCTATGGTAAGCAAAGATGGATAGTGGCTAGCAGTGGAATCCAGGACGCGCGTTTCGTCCTATTTGGTACTCGTTAGCTGGATGTACCTGCATCTCAGAGTTGATGTTCACACTCTGATCAGTCTCTAATTGGCATATGTGCATACTGTGCGTATTGCCTCGATATACCTTAATTCACAAGCTGAGAGACTGAAAAGTTGCAGTCCGAACACATCGATGGGAAGATTCAAACAAACTATACTAAATGAATGTAAACTTCACCCCATCGCACAAGCAAGTAGCTATCAGGACTCAGTGGCCGAGTGGATAACGCAATGTCGTTTGAAGCGAGGGTACTGGGTTCGAGTTCCAGAGTGAACATCAACTCTGAGATGCAGGTAGATCCAGCTGTTGAGTCCCAAATAGGACGAAACGCGCGTCCTGGATTCCACTGCTAGCCACTATCCATCTTTGCCTACCATGCTTGTGAATTAAGGTATATCGAGGCAATACGCACAGTATGCACATATGCCAATTAGAGACTGACCAGTTGCAGTCCGAACACATCGATGGGAAGATTCAAACAAACTATATTAAATGAATTTAACTACTTCTATGAATCCGGTGTTCATCTTGTTGTGCTAATGAGGTATGACAACTTGGACCGATGCATATATGTGCCTAGTTCTACGTTGTAGCTCACTAACTGACTGACTAATTGACAACTAATAATCATTAATAATTATAAAACTTACTTTCAATTGTTTAAAATATGATTTTAAAAATTGTTTCATATTATTTAAAGATGTATAAACATTCATAAATGATGATTGAAATGAATAGGAATCTATCAAATAATCACTATGAATATCTTGTTTCATACAATATGATAACATTTGTTTAATTATTTCAAATTGTACTTTTATAAAATTTAATTTTTCAAAAAATAATTTACATTGTATATCATATTGTATTAAAAAATCTCTTCGTTTAAAAGTTAAACTTTTCTTTAAATGACAATGATTTTGTTGTTGAAATGATGGATCTAATATGCTATTGTTCATTAAAGATGAAATGAATAAAATAAATGGATTATTAAGTGATTGAATATGATCATGATATAATTCTAGATTATTTAATTCTAGAAATTTCCATTTTATATGAATTATTAAATTGATATAATGATTTGGATCTTTCAAAATTACTGATTTTAACTCAATGGAAGACATATTTGTAATTAATTGTAAAGCTTCTTCACGAAGTTGATAAATTTTTGAAGTATTTAACTTTTCAAAAGAAAAAAAATAAATGAAAAAAAGAAAGATAAAACAAAATGTTATTTGCTGATGAGAAAGTAAACAATTAACATAATTAAAGCGATTTCCATACATTTCATTTAATATTGTTAGATCTTTGTTAAGTTAATTAATAATATGAAAAGGATGAATAACAACTGGAATGAACTGGAAAGGATTGTCCAGGACAGGGTTGGATGGAGAATGCTGGTGAGCGGACTATGCTCCTCCGCGAGGAGTAACAGGCGTAAGTAAGTAAATTAATAATTTATCATAGATTGTAAGATTTATCATTTTTCAATTGTTAATTTTCTGAACATACTTTAACTATGATTACTAAACAAAAAGGGGTAAGAAACAAACTCATACACATAATAATAAACATTATATTATTTGAATAAGGTAGAGGTTATTAAGAATCAATAACCTAATCAGATAATGTGACAGAATTTTAAGCGATAAGTACCAAGTTATATTCCTCCTAAATACCTACTACGGCCAAGGGTGGAAAGATTCTGCTCTGCCTCTCGAAATGCTTTCATATAGCCACTACCAGAGAAGTTATGCTCACTGCCTTCTCGTGTTAAGAATGATGTTTACGAAATTAAGAGGATTAAAACCAGATATCTAGGCTGGTAGATAAGGAGAATTCATCTAGGGGAGTTGGAAACCCTGATTACATACCAATGTTGCACATGGGTTCAAAGTTCTTGAGGGATATAAACAATATTTTTGGCCGCCAGCTACATTGGGCCCGAATCATCTAATGTTGTCCCACTGATTTCTGGATTAGGCTTCTAGGCCAAAGGCTCGGAGAGTGGCCCTCTAGGAAAACCACCTGCTTTTGTTTGAGCACCCAAACAGTATCTCAGCCCACAAACAAATTAAGTGGTGGGTATTGTGCATATATATCTCGATGATTCTTTGTACTAATGTTTATATATTTTGAATCAATAAATAATAAAATAAATTGGGTCCGATCTTCAGTGTGGAAATCAATAGTAGGATACAGTCAAATCGAGTCTTTGGGTTTAAAAAAGGACGAAAGGCTGTATTGACAAGTCATAATCATGAATCTCAATGCAAATATACACTTTGAAGTGAAACAACCAGAAACAATTTGATATTCACTTCTCATTTTCGACAAAGATAGTGATAAAATGCAGTGTTCTGAACATCTCGAGTAATAATTCAAAACTGTTTAAATAAATCTTCAGCTTTTTAGATATAAAACATTGCTTCAGAGACTATGAGGAGGTCCAGTTCTGAGACAGTAATTGGCATAATCGTGTGTGTTGTTCAATTAGTTCAACTTGTAATTTTCCTAACACATCAAATCACACATTATAAACAGAGATGGATGATGACTAACAATGGAATCCAAGACTCATGCCTCGTCCTATTTTCAACTGGTCAGCTGGATGCATCTGCATCTCACAGTTTATGTTTACTCCGGGACTCCGACCTAGTACCGTTCGCTTCAAATGCTATCACGTTATTCAATTAGCTACTGAGTTCAAACAACTAATACAACATGAATTGCGCCACACCACGGTTTGAAACAAAATATAGAATGTTGGAATATTTTTTCGTAGTCTTTAAATATGATTTAGAGAAATTTTTCTACCATAGAAACAAGACGATATGTTTGAACAGTAGTAACAATCAGTCGAGACTGATTGAAATGTTCGTGATGAAGTATGATGAGAAATACCGAAAAAGGATCTGAGTAAATAATCGTAAGAGGAAGCAAAAAAACAAACATCTACACAACTGATGCTCAAAAGTAATAACGTTCCAAAAAAAAATCACACAAAGGTTAATAACGGTATTTAACAACAGATTTTTCTGCAACAAAACCATTTCCTCTGTATATAGAGTATGATCAATGAAGATTGTAGAAGTACTCATCAAATTAATGATGAAAATAAAAGTAGCTGAATATCCTGGATACACCACAGTTATCGAACATTGGAAAAAATATAGATCATATATCCATCGTTCTTAATAAATAGATCATTTTTTCATAGTTGAAATCATGAATCAATTGAAGCTAGACCACCATGGAAAACCGGGAAGCACTGGATGGCCGGTTCGTCCTATTATGGGACTCCTCAATTGACTCATGATTTCAACTATGAAAATACTTTCTCCACAAAATCCCCTCAGATCATTTTTTTATTTTGTTTATACTAACTAACATTTAAGTGAGCAAATTATAAAATAACTTACATCATGGTTAGCAGAGATGGATAGTGGCTAGCAGTGAAATCCAGGACGCGCGTTACATCCAGATTACTGACGAGTCCCAAATAGGACGAAACGCGCGTCCTGGATTCCACTGCTAGCCACTATTCATCTTTACTCACAATGCTTGTGAACTAAGGCTATATTGAGGCAATACGCACAGTATGCACATATGCCAATTAGATACTGACCAGTTGCAGTCCTAACAAATCGATGGGAAGATTCAAACAAACAATACTAAGTGAACTTACATCATGGTTATTAATAAGTGAAATAATATTGTTTGAATTTTCATTGATTAGATCAATGGTTATAGGTTTAATTAGTTCTTCACGTATAATACACAATCTCTCTAAAGTACTGCTTAATTGTTTTATATAAATATTAGAATAAATTGAATGTATAGTGAACTGATCCAATTTTGTATGAAGTACATCATAGATGTCGTCCACTTCTTTCTGTTTAGATCTATTTTGAAAAAAAGTGAAATTCAATAATTGATTCTATTGGCTAAGGTTTGAAATTTGTATAATCTTTAAAACAAAAAGACTTGACAGAAGAATACATGTGTTGTATAACGGCGAGCGTTTTCAAAATACGAAGGTGTCTACAGTTATATTAATGAGTAAGATATATTCAATTAATGTCAAGGTTAGTGTGAAGGCCAGTGGAAGGCATATGTAATCAACCGTTTTTGATCAGGATGAGTTATATTATCGAAACAACTGATGATAATCTTACTGCACCGTGTTTATGAGTCAAAAACCTGAATAATGACATCTAAGTGAAATATCTAATTTAAACAAATTTCTACCCAGAAATATAGTTAAATTAACCACTAACAGTATTATGAGTTGAAGACCATTCGACTGTAACTGGAAACTTGAAAACAATAGACAATAGTTTTGTTTTAGTTTTACTCCTAAGAAGTATGTACTGTAAGCCATATAAAACTCAGAATTATCACACTTTTTCAGGGAGCTCATCAGTTTCACATTATGTAATAGAAATTGAACTGTTTAAATCCCTAAGTTTAATTTCATAGTAATCTCAAATTCCAATAGTGTTGTCACTGATGTTTTTTTATGTTACCAACGTCCTTATTACGTAATGATAAACATAGAATTAATGCATCTAGCAACACATCTCTACTCAATAAAGTTTGATTCATTACACAGATACCTATAAAAGTATGAAATTAATATTAGATATTAATAACCAACAGTAGAATTTACTCACTCAATATACATGTGAAAATGTTGTTGGGTCCTTAAATCCACATACAATAAACATTGGTTGGCTACATTTTTTACATTTTGTAATTTTTTCTGTACACAACTGACTTGATCAATACAATCCTATAATTAAAGAATTTAAAGAAAAAATTGGGAAAAACTATAAGGACTAGGAAAAGATTTTAATAATCAGACTTTGCAAAATGCATTACATAGGCTTAACCACCGCCTACCTCGATTCATTGTATCAGCTGCTATAGGAATAAGTTGGAGATAAACCTAAAGGCAGAAAAACAAAGTGAGGCATCAGTCTATGTGTTCATTGATTATTAGGCTTAGCCATGGGATGTGAAGAGTCGTGGTAACTAGTAGTCGGGGATGGATGATGTTGCTCAAAATCATTCACAATAATATGGATGCATTCACTCTTTACTTATTTAAGCCTGTTAACTCTCGCGGAGTACAAGCTATTGACCACGATTCTCCAAACTATTCTGACCAGGACCTCTTTTACAGTGGTTATCAAATGCCATTCATTCTTTTGATGTCTGTTTTCGATTCTCGATGCAATGTGTATCTTCGTTTTCCTCTTTTCCATTTCTCTTCAGGATTCCAAGTTAGCGCTTGCCTCGTGATACAGTTTGATGATTTCCTCAATGTGCCCAATTCGCTACCAGAGTCTTTTCCTGACTTCCTCTTCAGATCGAAGCTGTTTTATTCTGTCATATTAGGTTAATGCTGATGATAACCGGCTAACGGATCTGGATTATCTTCTGTAAACAACCATTTATAAACAACTGTACCGTTTTGATGACGGTTGTAGTAGTTCTCCAAATTTCAGCCCCGTCCAATAGAACTTTCTTGATGTTTGCATTGAAAATTCTGACTTTTGAGTTAACTGATAGCTGTTTTGAGTTCCACATTTTCTTCAATTGTAGGAGTGTTACCCTTGCTTCACTAATCCATACCTGCACATATACATCAGACCTCGTTTCTTTATTAATGATACACTCACTCTTTATTTTCCCTTAAAAGTTGAGTTTAAAATTATCACAAACTTTTTATTCCATGAATTTATTCTTTCTTCCCAGATAACATTATTTATATCTAATCTTTTCTACTACAACTGATACCGTTACTAATAATGCTCTTCTAGCTGGTGTTTGTCTTGATAATTCCGACTGGATGTGCTAATATAGTGGTGTGATAACTTGTTGTGACTGATTGACGGAGAAACTGTAAGCAGTAGGAGGAAATGTACCACAGCCTATTTCGCGTTTTCCAGCTCCCGTAGTAATAGCAAATGCGTAGAACAAATCGTTAAATATGAAATCATATTTACGGTATTAAATCAAAACCAAGATAAGACTTATCTCTATGCATTACCACATCATTATTATTATTGTGTAGCCACCTACCGAGCCGTGTAATAGTTTCAATTGGGATATATATATCATAAATTATAAGTACACCTAATAGATCTAGACTTTATTGATCGATGAATAACTCATAATACCAGTATACCATCGTCATATACATTCGAGATTATTTTTGATCAAGTTTTCTTTCGTGCTAAAAACAAGATCGTAGTTATCCCTATGACGAACAAGACAAATTAAACGAGAACAAAATTCTTAATACATGAATCCCTAACGCCATTCATATCAGAATCCACCAAAAAGAGGAGTGGAGTGCTAAAAACGGACACAGAAAGAGTGATATGAAGTTTAAGTAGGTATTTTTTTAGGGAATCCATGTGTATACACTTAAACCAGTTTAAATGTAACTTAAACTTCGAGATAAGATGGCTAAAATTGCAAGAAATTCGACTTCTCATCACCGTATGTGAAATGATTAACTGGATTTTTTCGCAGTATTAACAGAGAAGACGTTTATTTATCTAATTAAAGAAATAACTCGAAGTTCAATAATTTATGTAATAATTACCAACAAATAAAATCCCGCTTATTTCAACCCTGTATAACTCTAAAGAGAGGGATTTGAATCACAATCTTCGTGTGATGATTAATAAGCTTTGACCATAACTGTGACCAAGACGTACTGACCAAGCTTGTCAATCGTAATGACCCAATCGAATAACATTGTTCAGAAAATATGTTCCTTTTAAGCAGTGTGAAAAGAATTGTTAGGAACAATCAATTTATTGTGCGTTAATAAAATATGAATACCATGCATTAAATACATTATTTGCACATCTTCCTTCACTTATCCTTTACATGCTTCATGATTCTTCCAATTCTGTTTTTATTACAATTGTTATCTGTTCCCCTTCCTGTTCTTTCTAATCCAATCTTCTACTGACTGACATTCCACTTCCGATTGCTGCTACATACTATTTATACCCGTCAGTAGCATGCACCAAACTACCATACCAAGCAGGTAGGTTAAAAAGTGGTAAAACTAAAAGCAGTAACTTAAGGTTCGAGGATGAAAACGTATTGTTGAGTGTACAAAGGCTAGGACGGCAGAAAAGCGTTTCTCTTAGACAATTAGTATCTGCATTAATGATGCCTTCTCACGACGGAGGGAGGGGTTAGAAAATCCCGACTTTAAAAAAAACAGTACATCTCAACCTTCCCCACAAATCACTGATACTTTTGGTAAGTCCTTAAATTCATGGAGTCAACATATTTTGAGATACTCGCGAAATACACGTGTGTGACCTATTTCAAGAAATTGTCCCTTGTGTTCTACATTCACTCCCAAAAATCAAAAAGACCACTATCAGACCAGTTTTGCTTTTAAGTTAGATCAAAAAGAAGTGATACTACGCCACCGTACAAGCTCAGGTAGGTACATTATGGTTCGGATGTGTGACATTTCCGTTGAAAACAGAGTATGTTAGTGTTTAAATCATCGTTCTATTTAAGAAACGTAATTCTATACAATTTCGAATTGCTCAAGTTATTTTCTGAATGTAACGAAACGTTTCAGCATTGCAAACGTCAATGATTTTACTAATTAGAACAAAAGATATAAACAAAGAAAGGAATTGAACAGAGTGTGTAGTGAACGAAGACTTGGTGGGGAAATTGCACTGTCTTCCTAAAATATGAAAACCAAACATTAAATACATCATTTGCACATCTTCCATAAGTTGTCTCTTATAAACTCTATCGTCCCTTCATTCCTGTTGTTGTTTGGATTGCTTTAACCTTTCTTTTCCCCTCTTCATTTCAATCTCCTGCACGCAGGTATACCATTCTCGATCGGTGCTACATACTACTTATATCTTTCAACATAAGTGACATACAGCGATTAAAAAATATACCAACCTAAAATTCTCAAAAACTGATTTTGATTACAAGACATTCTAATGTCAATGAATGACAACTGAATAAAAACCCTTCAGAGAAAACCTCGATATTATTTAAACTTATATAAATTTAGCTTGATCCCCCCGACCATCATACACCTTTTATAGTTATTTTAAAAATTAAATTCAGTACAATTAAAATATGTGATTAACCTAATATAACCAAATAACATAACTTCAATTAAGTATAAATATTCATTAATATCGAGTTAATTTGCTTAGGATGCATATAAGGTGACTGGAACTAACCAACTAAAATCTTGAATAACAAAGATGAACAGTTACAAGGTTTTATTAATAACACAAATTGAACTGAACTCATTGGGTAACACAATGGTGTCGGGAACGAAAATTACTAGGGTTTGAATCTAAACATGAATAAGAACTTTGGGATGGAAATAAGCCCAGTTGACTGGTTCCAAACATAATTGAACGTGAGACTTGAATTTCACTACTCGTCTACGTTTAATTATGTTAAATAATTGTAAACAAATGGCAATATAGAGAAAATTCACTATGTATGTAGACAGCCAACAGAGAGTTATCACTTGTAGTCCTGAATATAAAAACTGCGAAATTACAATACCTTACTGACTTATTTAAACCTTTTCAAGAGTGGAGGAAAGTAATCGCACGAAGAAATATATGCCTCTTCATTCAACAGTATGTTGACTTCTGTTATGCTTCTGAGGCCTTAAAACCTGTTTACATCACCCTACCATTAGATGAATCAAACTGCCTTGTATTGAAACGAAGACTTTCGTAGGTTACAAGCAAAACGCATTATACAGGTTTATTATTATTTTGAAAACAAAGTCCATACTTCACCAAAAACTTAAGTCCAACTACCAAAATTTTTACTTTCATTAAACCTACTCAGATAATATGTTGATATATAATGCTTGTCCTCGTTTTCTCATTACTTTCTCCTGTTTCGATCGTTTATTTAACCTTTATTTTGCACATATAAATACCTATAAAGGTTGTTTGATCACATTGTTTGGAACATATTGCGCCAATATATAACGTGGTTCTGATAAACTTGACCTTCTTATTGAATTACCTAAATTTTTACAATTAGCTCCTAATCATGACCTGGACAATAAAGAAAGCTAGCAATCAGACATTCTATACTTAATATAAACTGCTTTGGTGGATTGAAGTTTTATGGAGATAATCAAGAGCTTAAGTCGGGAAACACTCTTGGGAATAGCTGAAAAGTAGAACCTTTGGGTTTGTAGCATATTTGTTCTAGATTAACGATTTATTCACCTACAATAATTTGTTGTATATTCATGGGTTTTTGGATGAGAATGGAAGATTATATCGACTAATTGACAAACTAGAACAATTACATCATTTTCGACGATCTCATATTACTATATCCTATTGAAGACTAAGGGTAACTTCTGAGATCTATTAACGGACTAATATATATATATATATATATATATATATATATATATATATATTCCTATCGTATAACTATTCAGTAATTAAATTATGTATATCTATATTCCTTCTATCATAAGCTCCATTTTGATCTATAAATTACTATTACACGATTTACTGTTCCCAAATTATGTTCAGTTTATTAATCACCGTCTCCCACGTCCACAGCCACATTTTGGCTTGATCTTGTGCAAATGTTATTTCCTATTTTATGGTGTGATGCGGTCTGTTTGTATGGTATATAAACCAAGTATGTTTGACATAAATGATTCGCATAGCAGAGGCTGTTATTGGTGTTCTGGACTCAACTGAGAAGGATAGACGGATAAAGGAC